AATGGTTGGCCCATAGAAAGAAATAACGTCCATAGTTTAGTTTCACCATATTGGAATGTGAAAGAGGACCTAGTTGTACAGAAAGGAGTAGTTTTCAAAGGTAATCAGATGGTTATTCCTAAAGCTATGAGAAAAGATATAATAAGTAGGTTACACTATAATCATATGGGAATTGATAAAACACTCCTGAAAGCTAAGGAACTTGTGTATTGGCCCTTCATGACAAAAGAAATTACTGATGTAGTAAAAAATTGTCCAGTTTGTCTGAAATTTCAAAACAGTAATATAAAAGAAACTTTGCTGAATAAGGAAATTCCTGAAAATCCATGGCATACTGTAGCTGCGGATTTTTTTCATCTTGATGGTAAAGAATATTTACTCGTAGTTGATTGTTATTCGAAATTTCCAGAAGTTCATTGTTTAAATAATGATATCACTAGTGATAAGGTTATTCAAGTGATGAAAAATATTTTTTCAATCCATGGCAAGCCATTAGTTTTATATACTGATAATGGACCATCATTTGTTAGTTTCAAATTCGAAAATTTTCTCACGGAATGGGATATTATTCATAGAACTAGTTCACCAAGATATGCACAGTCTAACGGGTTCATAGAAAGATATGTTCAAACAATAAAGAAAATATTAAGAAAAGCTATTTATGATAATAAAGACATTCATTTGGCACTGTTAGAGTATAGAAATACTCCAATCAGTAATGATATACCTTCTCCAGCACAACTTTTGTTCAGTAGGAGACTGAGGGGTCAAATACCAACAAACGAATCTTTACTCAATCCAAGAAATGTTCACAAGGAATTCAGAAAAACTTACATCAATTCACAGTATAAGCAGAAATTATATTATGATAGAAATGCTTCAGATTTGCCTATTTTGAAAGTGAATGATTCTGTGATGGTTCAGTTCAACAAAAATGAATGGGAACCAGCAGAAATCATTGAAATTGACCATGCAAGGCCAAGATCGTATGTTGTCAAATTGATGAAAAATAATAAAATATTCATAAGAAATCGCAGGTTTTTAAAGAAAGTTGAGAAATATAATATGAACTATAATGTTAACTACGATCCAGTTTTTGACCCTGGCTATGGATATGGTACTAGTGATTTAGTGAATGATGAGGTTATGAATGATGAGGAAGTTGTTAGTTGTGAAAATAATGAGGTGAATGAAAGGAGTGATAGAGGAGGAATGAATATAGATGAAGAGAAAAGTGATAGAACGGAGTATACAGAGAGAGAAGGAACTAGTTATCGACGAACTAATAGAGTGGTTAGGAAACCTACTCACCTCAAAGATTATGTTTAAATCGATTCTATACTCAATTGTTGATATATTTTAGACAAATCTCAAAGGAGGGAGATGTTATATGTATAATTGAATACTATGAATACACTTCGTATAATAGATAGAATGTATATTGAAGGTTGTGGTATCGATGGGGATCGTTGTTGATTTAGCAATCTTTTGTTATGGAGAATTGTATCTTATATTAAATATTGATACTCAGTTATATTTAGTATTAATTATAACAGGCCCCGCTGCCGCACTCTTTGAACTTTCAAAGGGACCGACGGCTGGCGGTGATATGTTTTTCCAACTGAATTTGCATAAACTCTAATAAAGTTGATGTTTCGGGTGAAATTCCTGAGCACGGAATCCTCATGGAAAACGCAATATTTATGGAAGTGCATTGAGAGCAATAGCATCGATAAACTCCACATAGACTGATAATCGTTAGGATTTTTTAACGGGGTATTTTGGATGGTCTGTGCCAGGCTCCATGACTATCGACACGCGATGGAAAAGTACTTACATGCCGAACATTCGGACTAGACTGCGCTTTTCCACATTTTCCCTATAGTCCAGTCATCGGATGATCTAAACTGGAAAAATGAAATTGACCATTCTAGAACACGTAATTTTGACATGGTTCCATGAGGGGCACACACACTATATGTTAGGTCACCTTTGATGAGCATAGCCCTGGCCATCCCTGCCACATCCACAATATGATAACAGTTTCACCAAACACAATTATGATTTCCATAACGGATTCCAAGGAAAACGATCCCACTAATTCTGGTTTTATATGACAATTCTTGACAAAATACAATGTGTGCCCCTCAGCAACCTGTCAAATGACGTAATTCTGGAATGATTAATAGTGAACATTTCAGGACACTACGAATGATTATGCAGGTCCAAGAAGAAAAGTAACTGTTAAAGAAATAGGTGTGGTATAGTACTCTCCAGTCTACTGTGAAACAACGTGCTTTCTTGAGCGTTGAGCTCTTTTAACATCCACTCGAAGATGGTATGGGAATGCCTAAGCAAATTGAATGAGCCAGGCAGTAACATAAAGTGATCCTCCTCTGGGTGCCAGGGCATATCGGAGTGGAGGGAAATGAACAAGCAGACACTCTTGCACGAAAAGGGGCTTCAACGCCACTGATCGGACCAGAGCCATTCTGCGGCCTTGGAAATTCTCATTTCCAAGGAGAAATTGGAAAGATGGAAGAAGCCTTGAGAGCCAGACAATGGAAAAGACTTCCAGGACTGCGGCAGGATAAAGATCTCCTCGGAAATTTCAAACGAGAAAGATCTAACACACTGATAAACCGCAGCAAAGCAAGTCTCAAAGCAATAACGGGATTTCTAACGGGGCATTGCAGATTCAAAGAACACCTAAGGAAGCTAGGCTCACAGGAGGACGGCACCTGCAGATTCTGTGAGGAAGAGAACCAGAAACACCCCATTACATACCTACTGATGGAGTGTGACGCTGTACATAACAAAAGATTTAACATACTGGGAACACACCTGCTGACTGTGGAAAAAATATTAACACTAGATCCCCTCAAAATCCTCAAATTCCTTGAGGACTTGAATCTTGTGAGGCAGTTATGAACAAGAAATCCTTGATATAGCAGGAGCAGATGGGGCACAATAGATCTAATTAGGTTGCAGCTCATCTGTCACCATCCAACCTACCAATACCAACGTGCTTTCTTGAAGATGCGATAGATGACTGCTATTCAGTGTGACCAGTTTCGAAATCTTTGACTCTCATCAGTGCAGGGCAGTCTCCAGCCAGCAGTCCTAACACTGCTGACTCAGCGTAGCCTAGCCGAAGGAAAATCAAGTCGGCATTATATTCAGGTTTCGAGTATTTATTTACTTCTTCTCTACTCAGATGGCGTTACTTTCATATTGCCTATGGAAGCCTACTCCATTTCAACGATTTGTTAGAAGCAACTTCATGTCCAGTACCTACACAGTACCCTCCATACCGCCCTCTCTTCCAGGGCTCCAATTCCAGGCAAATCAGAAACGAACGAGGGAGAAACGTTGACAACATAAATATGAACTTAGCAACAGTTCTCGAATGGGGATCCAATAACTTGGTAGATTTCAATCCAAACAAAACACAAGTATGCCTTTTCTCTAGAAAAGCTGATCTTACTGTGCCCACCATAAGCTTGTCTTGTCAGGAGTAACCATACCTTTGAAGATATCCATTTCGATGCTTAGGATTACTATCTGAAATAACCTTTCCTAGGAAAATCGATGGCTGAAAACTTGGTTTTCTGTTTCGGGTCAGGAGCTATTTTACTTCCAGTCAGCTGCTTATAATCTATAAGGCACAGATCCGACCTGTCCTGGAACACTGTTCCCATATTTGGAGTGCAGCACCCAAACATACCCTGGAACTGTTGGATTCTGTCCAAAAAAGGGCAATTCGTCTCGTGTCTGAGCCTCGCTCACAAACTCACTCACTTCTCTGGGACACCGTAGAAAAGTTGGCGATCTGGCTTATCCCTAATTTTCCTTGCTTCTCACGATGTTCTCTGAACATTACAGGATATTCCTTTTCGTGGGAACCAGAACATAAAAAAAACTCCTGTGAGGGAATATAATGCCGACTTTTTTTTTGCTTCGCTAGGCCACGCTTATGTCTGCTGGCTGGAGACTGCCCTGCACTGATGAGAGTCAAAGAGCTCGAAACCGGTCTGTGGGTGTCTAGCTTGGCCTGGCTAAATCGAAATCAATAGGCATTCAGGAAAGAATCACTTGTATCAGTATTCGTTTATACGACTCGATGCATAGATTTCATGAGGATTTTATTCAATTTTCTGCGTGATGGCATTAGCCAGGAAAGTAGTCGTTTTTCTTCCGAAATCTACCATTGTTGATCATTTCATGAACATTGTGTGGAAATGACTTTGAACTTTTTGTATTTATTTGGCTCTTGATCTCGAGAACCAATCAGAATTGACCATTTTCACGGTTTCTTCTGTATTCTAGCGATATTTTTTGTTTATTAAATTTTATCGGACTTGCTCTACCAATACAGGAGCCGAATTGACCCACACGTGACCAACAAACTTCGTTTATCAGCGATAAAATTTTGACATCGTGTCTGGTCAAGATTGCTTTGGATTCAAATCTGAGACAATAACCTAAGTACCTACTTTATTTTGTTTGAATTGGATAGCAATTGTATACACTCTTTTGAGAGCAACCATCTCCAAGGTGATAAAAAAATACTGTTTATCAAAATTGTACATTCCACTATGTGAATAACTATAAGTAGGTTGTGAATTTCTGAAAAAATGGAATTATGTACTTCATTACTATCATTATGTTCTTCTTCGCAGTTTGAGTTGGAATATACTTGAATTATAATTCCTATTCCTTATATATATTGTCCAATTCAATTCCTTCATGAAATAGTCATACGAATACAACTCGTGATACTATTTTTCCTGGAAATATTCGTCGATTGACATACTCCAGCTTGCTGCTCTAATTTCGCTCATGACATTGATCCAAAACTACTCGCCTACAGCTCGTAGTTTTGATAACAATGTCATTCACGAAATTACTAGCCAACAAGCTGTTGTAACAATCACAGAATATTTCCGGCAAAATATTATCACTTGTGGTATTATATATGAATGTATATTTGTTTGCAGAGGGGTAAAATCCCATTACTACTCGCAGTCGAAGCTGGGAATCAATCCATGTGCAGGGAGCTACTCAGTGCACAGACTGCTGAGCAGCTCAAGGCCCAGTCTGCAAATGGAGACACGGCACTCCATTTGGCAGTCAGGCGGAAAGATATCGATATGGTAACTATCAATATGTTTTAGTTTTTTGTAAAATTTATCGCTACTTCCTAGTAGAGAACCAACTTCACAGAAGTCGAAACTTTTGCGGGGTTAGGAAGAGGGGGATCTACAGCTTATAGTGGAATCCAAACAACTTCTAGGAGTTTCAGGGCGTCGAGGTGCTTCCTAAATTTTCAACAATTAATGACAGTCGTTTCTATTGGGGATTTGATAGAAATGACAGTACAATTAAGTGAAATTGTGACTTATCCATTCGTCTTGTCAAATTTAAACAAGTAGGTATTCGAGCACAGCACTATATACTGCCTGTGTAATTGGAGCATATTCAAAAGACTCACCTGATATGGTTATCATATTTTCAATCGCTTTTCTTCAAATACACATCAGAAACAACTGTAGGGGGCCATGTGTGTTGAAATAGTACTTGACAGTTTCTAAATGTTAGAATTCATTTTGCACAAACATAGCTGCGAGATATTTAAATAGAGTACAAACCAACAAGAACGATGGACCATACATTGTTGATTGGATACTAGCGGCTATTAGAGCGGCCATTATTCATTATTGCTCGATTATATAATAATAGTATAATCATAATAATGTCTTTATTGCTTTTCAAAACAGAGTTTCACCCCAGGGGTCAGATATGGAATAATTTCCAGACTATTAATCGAAAAGAGAGTGAAAAAGAAAAAAATAATAGAAAAAGAGAAAACAAAAATAATGAATAAGAGTGAGTTTAACCATTCCTAGTCCTACCTACTGATTCAAAATAAATTACCTGAGTTTAGAAATATTCCATATATATGTAGCTATGATCTTCAAATCCGCTTTTACCAGACTGTCCGAGGAAAAAAGGAGGGAGTTAATGATATATCAAAGCAGACCAAAGTGTTCACACCATTTTGGACAGCATACTATTTTAGTCTGGTTTACAGAATACCCATCTGGTATTTTCACCACACAGACCAAGAGTATTTAGTTCAACTGTAGTCATTAGTCAGCTAATTAAGACACGGCATACACGTGGCCAATATTGCCAAGAGGTCAGAATATTGGTAGATTATCATAATAGTAGGTATATTAATATCTTTATTGCTTCTTAAAACAAAGTTCCGCCACAAGGGTCAGATATAGAATAAATTTCAGACTATTGATCTAAAAGAGAGTGAAAGAGTAAAAAAATAATAGAAAAAGGGAAAACAAGAATAATAAATAAGAGTGAGTTGAACCTAGATCCTAGTTCTACCTGCTAATGCATGATAAATTACTTGAGTTCAGGAATATTCTATATACAAGTGGCTATGTGTTCTACTGTCCAAGAAAGAATGGAGGGAGTCAATGATATACCAAAAGCCGACCAAAGTGTCTACATCATTTTGGACAGCATACTTTTCCAGGGGCGTCCTTTCAGTATATACCATAGAGAATAAATTGGTTTGTCTATGGTATATACCTACCAGCGGGGCTAGTAACTCAGAGAAAACGTTTTTGTATGTTATAAAATGCGCTGCAGGTGACGTTTTTTGGGTTCTAGATCAAATGCCTTCAAATTGAAAATCAGAATTTTTTCAGAGTGTCAACAACTCCATATCACACAACTATTTCAACTACGAAATAATCACAATGCTCAAAGTGGAAGGAAGCTCAAAGTCTCAAACTCATTTCCACACAATGTTCATAAAATGATGAATATATCTCGGGAGGATGTATTTCAATAAAAGTAGTTGTTTCATTCATTCTCCCGAAATCTACCATTGTTGTTCATTTCATGAACATTGTATGGAAGTGACTTCGAGCTTCCTGTTTTAATTTTTTATATCACATTTTAATCAATTTCATGTTATCATTTTCTGCGATTGTTATAAAATTATCAAAAACTATACTCATGACAATTGAAAGTGCCAGTAAAATGTTCTTGAATACTCTCTGAAGGAAGGAACTGAACAGGTGGATGTGCATTTCTCAAAATTTTTTTAAATTTTCTTGCCTCGTTTTTTCGAATGAAAATCTGTATATTATTTCAATACCTATATGTAGAATGAGGACAAAGTGTCACTGATTATTAGTAAAAGATGTCTTTCCCAGTTTTATGAACGTGGAACTAGGCTAGGAAATCCCAAAGTATCTAGGGAGATGAGTTTTGATTACGAAAAAACGAAAATAAATATCAATGAGGTTGATGTATTGTAAATTATTGGTTGATTAGTGTTGAATGATTTTCATCGAGCGAAGGATACTGACTCACTTCTCAATCATTTCATTCAAAAACTAATATTGAAAACATTTGATAAGTTACTCATTGTCCGCAGTAGTACCTTCACTAGATATTCCCATTTTTGTAAATTCTGATATTTACTTCCCTATTCAGGTATATTTTGTGTTTGATACCTCATGATAGATGTTTCACAAGTACTGATCTGATTCGTTCAGTGACATTGATACAGAAAATTTCATTGTTATATTAAATTTTGAAGAAGTCAGGAAAGGAGGCAATTTTCCACTTCCCCCTTCGCCCCCTAAATAATGCTCATGTACTATTTTAGTCCAGTATCCAACAAATTTTGATACCAAACCATGCTGCTAACTTCACCAAGTGTACAGTTTATACCACACTGACCAAGAGTATTTAGTTGAAATTTAGTCATTAGTTAGCTAACTAGTAAGCGTGGCCAATATTGCAGGTCAGAATATTGGTCGATTATGGTACCAGCGTCGACATTCGCAATGGTGAAGGGCAAGCTCCGCTTCATATAGCTGCAGCAGAAGGAGATGAGATCTTGGTGAAATATTTTTATGGTGTGAGGGCGTCAGCTAGTGTCACCGACAATCTGGATCGAACACCAATGCATCTTGGTGAGTTTTCTGTACTGGGTGTTTCAGATTTGAATGTACATACTATACCTATATGAAGATAGAGAACACTTTGGTGGTTGTGAATCACGATTGTTCCCTCTTGATCCAAATCAATATGCGATACAAAGGTTTAATATGCCATGGACAATTTGTATATTATGCAACTGCATTCGAAAGTTTTGATTGAAGGAATTCAAAATAGAAAATTGTCATTTGTTTTATAATAATGATGAGAATACTGATTACTTGGATCGCACAGAACTGAAAGGTATATCGATGCTAAAAATCTAAAAGGTAATTTATAGGTTGAGTGGAAGATAGCACTTGTTCGACTCAACGCCGAGTCCGAACCAGAGCTAACTCTGCCTTTTGATAGATGATGTCATATGTTACCTTTTTTTTTTGTTAACCATTATCTGTCAATAAAAGCGATTATTATTATTATTATTATCATTATTAATTTAGCTCACCTCCCACGGAAGATGATTTTTTTTTCTGCCTTGTGAGTCAATTGACAGAATTGTTTGCGTAAATGAGTAGATGAAACAGTGTATTAATTGTCATGCAGATATTAACATATCTACCTACTTAGTACAACAAATATGTTCCTAGGCGGTTGGGAGTTGTAAGAGATCGAAATCATACCATTCCAAAGTTCTTCCTTCTTTATATTAAGGCTACGACGAGTAAAGCGATAGCTTAGTGGTCTATGTATCTGAATTTCACAGTGGTGACTGGGGTTCAATTCCTGTAAGGCGTAAATTCTTTTTTATTTTGTCACTTAATTTTTTTTTTCAAAAATATACTTTTCAGGTTCATTTAGGACAAGTTACGTTGAAAGTTCTTTCCTTTTTCATGCAGAAGAGATATGTTCTCTCCTCATGTTGAATGTAAGTCTTATAGCCTTCTGATAACCTTGAGGTTCAGAAGATTTGATGGTCTAACTAGACGCTTGTTTCCAAATGAGTTTCTTTTGAACAATAAAGAAAATATCTATATAAATTCTCACATTACTTCACTCTGACTTTCAGAACTCGAATCGATAATTTCACTTTCCTACGAAAGTTTTGCACGCAAATATCGAATAATTGCTGTAGTTCTATGATTATAATGTGAAATAAATTATACGTAAAGGGTGTCCATTAAGGTCCTGTCGTAAATGACTGATAGAGTGAACAAAAATAAATTACTTCATATAAAAAAAATGGCTATCGCATGTCTCCACAAATTTGGATGGTGTTGTTACACAATCATAAGAGACATGTTTCGGTCTTATGAAAGACCATCTTCAGCCTAATTGAAAGTTCTTCAACACGAAAAGATTGATGTGAAAGAATTACATAATTTGTTATTCATTGAGAACCCGTTTTTTCATTTATAAACTCGATTTCTCGACTATGGGCATTGACAACAATGCAACAACTACACTCAGTTCCAAAAATGGTGACGCACTTGATATTAAAAAAAAAATAGTAGACCGATTTTCACCCTAATAGCACACAACGTCCTAGGGACGTCCCTATTTGGTACAATTCACGTCCGAATGTCTCGAAAAAAAAAATAGGCGTCCTTATTGGGACGTCCCATCCCGTACATCTCATGCGATGTCCGAGCAAGGACGTCCACGGAATGTCCCAGCTGGTACATCATCTCAAATGTCCTAGAAATAGCATCACTTAGACGTCCCACGTGGTACATATTGTAAAATGTCCATGCAAGGACGTCCTTGGCATGTCCCTGATGGAATATGATTTTAAACGTTCCTTTAGGGACATCCATCGGATGTCCCGAGTAGGACATATTCTGGCATGACTTCAGATCTTATATAATATCCCTTCTAGACAACCATGAAATGTCTCTGATGGTATATTCCTTCAAATATCTCTGCACAGACGCCCTTAATATTTCCAGGATCGTATAACAATCGAAATGTCCCTCAAGGATATTCGTCGGATGTCCCAATTGGTACATGAACTGTACTCTTTCAATGTCCTAGAAATAACGTCCTATGGACGTCCCAGTCGGTACTTTCAATATTTTGTCCCTGCGAGGACGTTAACTTACACCTCGCCGACGAATGATTGCTCGTAGGATATAAGTACTCCTCGTCAATGTCCTTAACGTAAGTCCATTGGACATCCTTGAGAAACTTTTTGGGGACCTTCTACGGACCATCAACTCAACTGGATGTCCTAATCAGTTATGCAAGATCTAGTCCTAGAGGGACCCAGAAAAATTCAAATTCAAGAATAATTCTTACGTCCCTGGGACATCCTATGGACATCCAATTGATATCCCTCTGCGTTACTGATAGGTTGTTCTATGGATGTCCTATGGATGTCCTAAGGATGTCCTCTGTAGTACTTGATGAGGAATACTGTAGGATTTAGGTATTCGATAGTTGTCCCAGGGACATCCCTCAAGGACGTCCCTATTTGGTCCTCAAGTGGGACATTTGTGCGTCCCACAGACGTCCAATGAGTGTCCACGGTACAAAATTCGAACGTCCTATGGACGTCCTGAATGTCTCGACAGGACGTTCTAAGGATATCCATGGGACATAAGTGTGTTATTAGGGTATTTTTTTTGTATTTGTTGGTGGGTAATGCAATTGTCAGTAAAAAAAAACAAGGGGTGACATTTTTTGCAAAGCCTCCTTGATGGTGGTGGAATAACTCGACCCATGATTTATTCTTAATTTTTGACTCACTCTGTGTGTTAATTGAGTAATGGCATAGAAAGGGCTTACACCCCATACGAAAAAGGCTTCTTTTGTGAGCATTTTGTTTTTTACTCATTGATTTATCTCAAAAATTTTCCGAATTACAGCTTTTATTGCTGAATCCTTGCAGATTACCAACTTTATGAATTTATAGAGAAACAATTTTCTAATGAAATAAACTGATACCAATAATTTCAAAAAACATTTTTATTAAACACAAAATTATTAATTGGGATGACTGCTTAATACCGTGTATTGCCTCCTCTAGCAACTCTAAGAACTTCTTATCTACGAGGCATACCATTGGTATACGATCCCATTCTTCCACTAATAATATAATGCATCTGCCATTTCTGCGAGACTTTCCGGAGACCTCTCGCGAGAACGTACCCTCCTCCCTAATTCATCCCACAAATGTTGTATAGGATTCATATCGTGGCTTCTCGCAGGCCATTGTAATGTGGTAATACCAGTAGCTTCTAAGAAGGTTCGCACTGTTGCTGCGGTGTGTGGTCGGGCATTATCCTGCATCAATATATAATTATTGCCCACTAACTCTGCATGAGGTAAGACATACTGCTCTAAAATGTCAATGTAAATTTGGGCATTCATCGACTGCCTCACTGGAAAAACATGAAGGGGTGTCTTTCCATTCATTGAAATCCCTCCCCTCACCATAACGGACCCACCATTGAAACTTTCGCATTCTGTTATTAAATTTTGATTAAACCGTTCACCAGTTCTTCTCCACACTCTTTTTTTTTTTCATCCATCATGTTAAGGCGATACCTTGACTCATCCGTAAACAAGACATTCGACCATTCAGGAATATTCCACTGTCCATAATTTTCAACATAATTTCTTCCAGCAGCACGATGTTCGGGCAATAATTTGGGACCTTGTGCAGGTCTCCTAGCTTTTGAATTAACTTATTTTAGACGTCTACATACTCTGCTTACTTACTGCAACATCACGAATTTGGCGAAGATCTTGCTGAACATTTACCGCAGTATTTGATCGATTCCGTGAAATACGCAATCTCAAGAAGCGATCATCTTTTGGGGAAGTTTTTCGGGGTTGACCAGAACCGACCCTAAGATGGGTGCTTCCTGTTTGTTTGTACTTGCGGATTGCTCTACGAGCAGTTGCTTCATGAACTCCCACTGCACGAGCGGCGTAACGTTTACTACGCCCATCGTTTACTAACGCAACTAATCTTGCTACTTGTTCAGGATTTATTTGAGGCATTTTTATGTAATTTTAGTTAATAAAACAAGACACTTAATTAATGGCACAACGACAAATGGTCAAATATGGAGGCATACAACAAACTAGTTGCTATGGCAACGGCATTTGTTTTTTTAAAGACAATGTGATCCTATCAGAGTATAACCCAATCAATTTTGAGTACTCTGGTACGTAAGGTATCAGCAAAAAACCTGTAATTCGGAAAATTCTAGAGATAAATCAATTAATAAAAAACAAAAAGGCTCGCAAAAGGAGCCTCTTTCGTATGGGGTGTAAGCACTTTGTATACCATTACTCAATTAACACACAGGGTGAGTCAAAAATTAAGAATAAATCATGGTTCGAGTTATTCCACCACCATCAAGGAGGCTTTGAAAAAATTTTCACCTCTTTATTTTTATTTTAAAAGACGAATGCATTACCTACCAACAAATAGAAAAAAATCGGCCTACTGTTTTTTTATTTTTATTTTTAAGAAGATAGGTCAAATATCAAGTGCGTCACTTTTTTTGGTACTGAGTGTACTTCCTGGACATGACCAGAAAAGTGCTACGTTCTCGAAGGAAAATCGTTCGAAAAGTTGATAATTTCCGAACAATTGTTGAAAATAAAAATTTCTCATCATTATTTTTTCTTGCAGCGGCTGAGAATGGCCATGCCAATATCATCGAGCTGTTAGCAGACAAATTCAAGGCAAGCATCCTTGAAAGAACGAAAGATGGCTCAACATTGATGCACATAGCATCTCTGAACGGTCACGCGGATTGTGCGATGATGCTGTTCAAAAAAGGAGTATATCTTCACATGCCAAATAAAGTAAGTGCTTGATCACCACCAAAAATCGATATCGCATAGAGTCCAACCACGTGTAGCACGTCCACTTTGGGACATCACGTGACGCAACGCATATGTATATATTCAATGCATTCGTGACCACGTGCTGTCCAAAAGTTAACGTGGTCGGACTCGATAGGTACTCTCCAGCCTCAACAATCGACATCAAAATTTGTCATTTAGCTCAGAAATGAAACAAAAAGTAGAAGAACAAGAATAATAAAAATCATTAGAAGAAGGAAAAGAAGGAGACAAAACAGCGATACTTTTCATTCATCATTTGAAGGTTATCGAACAGTTTGTATATAAGGTGAATGACGCTGTTTATGAATTTGGAAATATTATAATCTGAATCTAGAGAGATCTATATTTCTTTCGTTACATAACAAAAATGACACTTAAAATTTGAAACGCGAATGAAAAAGATTTTGTTGAATTTTAACTACATTTGGAATTGTTCTGGAATAGTTCGTCGATTTCGACCATGAGTAGAAGATTCTAAATCAATACGGAATCGGTTCTATGATAACAAATTGAAAATCTTTAAGTTTCTGTGAAAAAAATATATCTACCACTACCCTGGGATGCTTCATTTCATCCTGTAAGTATAAGTTCTACTATGTATATTCCAACTTATATAGTTAGGCAAACCAGAAAAATTATTGTTTCTCATTTCCACTTTTTCAGAGGTACTTTTGCAGACATTCTCAGTAGTTTCTGCCCAGCCCAAACAATTCAATAGAAATATTTTCTGGAAATAATATGTTTTGCATACAGCGTTGAGATTTCCTTTTGCAAATACGCGAAGTATAAAATTGTTCCACCTATGTCATGTGGATGTGACTTCGTCTGTAATGCAAATTCCTGTTGTAAAATCGTTGGAAGAAACTTCGAATATGGAAGTAGTAGGACTTCTTCTGTATTATCTCCTGACCCTTCGATGCTAATCGCAAAATGTTGAAAAATAGGCCAAATCATTTTTTCATGGAACACCGTATATACTTTCACCTCTAGTGTTAGATATTTTTCTCCTGTTCACAAATATATATTTTCTGCTATTGTTTCCTCAAGCCATGTTTAACACATTCAGCATTGAATCAAAATTTTCAATAACCAATAGATGTCTGTGGATACAACAGGAATGCCATGGAAACAAAACAGGGATTTTCTAACATCTAGTCGGTTTTTTAATCAGAATAATAGAAACTAACGGGACTGTCACGTGATTTTCAATCATTGTTGAAGACCCGTAGTAAGATCATATACATTGAAAGTGAAGGAAAAATTAAAAAAAAACTTTCATTTAAACGCTCTTACAAGAAGGAAATAGAATGTTCCTTTCTGATTTCAAGTTGATAGTTGAAATTTACAGGGTTTTTTTACTCTCAATCTATTTTTCACTTACCAGTTATTGCTGGCTTTATGCCTGACGAAACGCAGTTCCGGGTCTGATTTTGGAGTTGTACTTCTCCTAGACAGGCTGCAGACCAATGCTGATTATGCCTATCTCGCCAAATTATACATGACAAAGTTGATCAATCGATGTCACAAGCTCAAGAATCGATTTTTTCAAACCTTTTTTCATTATCAGCGAATTCTTCCGTTTTATAGGAAAGCACAAAAAACTTCAATTGTGCGCCATATTGGATTTAGGGTAATGTTAATTATTCTCGGCAAGCCCTTTCATAAGATATCAATATTACAGAAGTGCATAAACAATAACTATTTTGCCATCTTGGATGGTCCGCTATATTGGATTTAGAATGACGTCACATTTTTTCTCGAGTTGCTCTCAACAAGCTCTATCATTCCATATCCATATTGCGGAAGTAGATTAAAAATAAGTATTCCGCTATCTTGGATGGTCCGCCATATTGGATTCAGAATTACGTCACATTATTCCTCTAGTTACTCCCAACAAGCCTCATTTGATTCCCATATAGTAGAAGTGCTTTGAAAATAACTGTTCCGTCATCTTTGATAGTCCATCTTATTGGATTTAGAAGGACGTCACATTATTTCTCAAGTTGCTTTCGGAAAGTCCTTCAATTTTATACCCATATTGAAGAAGTAGATTAAAAATAACTATTCTGCCCTTTTGGATAGTCCGCCATATTGTATTCAGAATGACGTAACATTATTTTGCGAGTTGCTCTCAACGAGCCCTTTAATTTGATATACATATCGTAGAAGTGCAATAAAAATAACTATTCCGTCATCTTGGATGGTCCGCCATATTGAATTTAGAATAACATTATACACATTATCATGCATTGTCATCAGAACTAAACGTGTATGCAAAATTAAGTTCAATATTAAGTTCAAAGATTCTACCCGATAAAACATACTTACATACAAACATTTCAAGTAAGATAAAAGCTCTTAATTAATTAAATTAATGAAAAATTAATTTTGAAAATATTTCAAAAATTTCAGTAGTTCAGCTAGAATGTAGTCGAAAACGGCTCAAGGAAACATTAGCAAACAATAATTTATTTATGAACTGAAGAAAAAGATATTCCACACAAGTTGAAGATATACAGGTTATGTCATTTAAAGAAACTAATATGAACTCTTTTTTTAATTTTGCGATTCGCATTTATTTATTCAAGGAGTGCCAAAAGATAGTACAGATGAAACCCTTCAACTTTCATAATTAGAGTTTTCTTCCACCTATAGTTGAAGCTGTAGGTTGGCGTCAAAATATAAAGGGACACCCTGTACTTGGTTTTGGACGTATATATGCAAAACATGTCCATGATGTTGAATATGCATACCAGCCTGATAGCGTAAAAGCGATGTCGCAAAAGATAACAGTACATTGGATTTTCAGGAATAGATTATTCTGCAGGTGAACTCCCGCATACTCTCCCCCCTCCCCTCCTCAAATCCATAATTCATGGAATTATTTTTTCACGACTTTCAGGATGGAGCAAGGAGCATACACACGGCAGCAAGATACGGCCACGTTGGAATAATCAATACTCTTCTGCAAAAAGGAGAAAAAGTAGACGTCACGACAAATGTGAGTCCAACACGCTTTCTTGAGTTTCCTCTCGAGAAAATCGATGGTATTTTTTTTTTCGCAGGATAATTACACTGCCTTGCACATAGCAGTTGAATCATGCAAGCCTGCCGTGGTGGAAACTCTTCTGGGGTATGGAGCTGACGTACATGTTAGAGGTAATCATCAAACGTATGCGCATTGAATAGCTTTGGGTTGTGGCAGCATTGAACTGAAGAGGCGATTTCACCAAACTCTAAACATTTTTCAAAAAAAAAGATAATCGTTTTTCTGTTGAAGATGTTCATGATTTCGAAGCAATAATAATTCATCTTCGAATTTCATCATTCTGTATGAGGAATATCGAAAACTCTGGAACCCTTTCGTACGAAGGCCTGGAAGGGACACATGAAATAAAAAAAAATTAACTCTTCAGAATTCTGAGTTTCAACTCGGAATTTCAAAATTCCGATTTGTATCTCAAAATTTTACATCGAAAATTCCGAGTTATGACTCAGAATTTTGAAATTCCGTGTTATAACTCGGAATTTTACATTGAAGTTCCGACTTATTGCTCGGAATTTCAAAATTCAGAGTTATGACTCGGAATTTTCGATGTACAATTCCAACTTATAACTCGGAATTTTACATCAGAATTCCGACTTATATCTCGGAATTTTGAAATTCTGAGTTATAACTCGGAACAGGGGCTTTTTACTTTTGAGATATCATTTGAGGCGTTCAGAAAAAAAAATAAAAAATTCTTGTGGAATACGGGGCATTTCAAACTTTTTCAATACAGTAACGCTTTTTTCAAACACTTGGTGTCTCATGAATGGGGGACTTCGATATGTTTCGAACGATGAATCTCGAAGAGGAAGCAGCTTTCAAGCATTTCCGATTGAATATCAATTCAGTTTTCGAAAAATTATGAGATTTTAGTTCAGTGATGGCACCAGAGAGTGTACAGAAAATTTCCGGCCGTGAGCGAAGTGCTTCAAAAGTCATTAAAAATAATCACAATATGAGTATGTACAATTACTTTGACTCGTGAAATGTGTCTTATTCCCAAATCGGTGAAAAAAATAATCTTGCAAATACACCTCGATCGTCTCTCAAATTTTATTCGATAATTTTCTATTTCCATTTCCATCGCTTGAACTCTTTGTTTTAAGGCACAATCATTCATACAAACCTCATTCCTAAGTCACAATACGATGATGTCTTATTTGTTTTCAATTTTGTTGTTATTTTTCGCGTTCGCGTTTGCAGCGTATTTGTATTTCATCATTGCAATACCAACGATCTCCTATTTTTCTCAGAGCAGAGGCAGCGACAATGTGTATTATTCATTCTAATCGAAAATGACCATCAGACGTGTCGTCCATAATCCGTAATAATATTTCAGCACCGAATATTTTACGAATATTCTGACAACGTTCTGATAGAATGTTCTAAGAATGATCATTATGATCCTTTTTTTTATCGCTTGGAGCGCACGAGAGGGAATCCCTAAAATGTTCAAAGAACATCGTGCGTTCCTAGGGAGGATAGGGACAGGAGGTAGGTATTGGAATTTTTTTTGAACTTTTGGAGATTATTTATGTTGTTGGGAATACTTCCACAGGCAATGAATTCCAGAGCCTAGCCGGTCTATGGATGAAGGAGTCTTGATAAAGTGCTGTTCGACATCTTTCGAGGTTGACAACGAAAGGATGTGCTGACTGGGCTTGTCTAGTTCGTCTGATTGGTATTGCTAGTGAAGGGATGATAAGAGAGATTTCCGAAGAACATTTCTCGTGGAAGTATCGATAGAAAAGTGAAAGGTCGCCTACCTATCTACGGTGTTCTAATGATGTCAAAGAGTGAGTGAGTGTGGCGTCACCCACCAGGCGAATGGCTCTTCTCTGAATGGAATCTAAGAGCATCAGCGTATGTTTTGGTGCTGAACCCCATATGTGAGAACAGTATTCTAGAACAGGCCGTATCTGCGCTTTGTAGATCATGAGAAGTTGTTGAGGTATAAAGTAGCTTTTCGCACGGAACAAGAATCCGAGTTTTTGGGAAGCAGCTTTTGCGATGGATCTGACATGATTATCCCATGAAAGCGTGTTGCTGGTGGAAATACCGAGCATAGATATGGTGGGCTTGGTGGGGATGGTGGAGCCAGACATTACAATATCGGGCATACTGAGTTCCGCCTTTCTAGAGAGAATGCAGGTTTGAGTTTTGGTGGCGTTGAATTCAACAAGGTTGTTTGTTCCCCAGGCTGTGATTTCGGCAAGATCTTCATTGACAGCATTGACCTGCCTGCGCCGTGAGTTCTTAGTTTCCTGGGAAGAAATGGGAATTCTGGAAGAGAACGCAGTATGGAGGGTACTATCATCTGCAAAGCTGTGGATGGAGCAAGTTGTTACTCCCAACAGATCATTGATATGAAGCAGGAATAATGTTGGTGCCAAAATTGATCCTTGTGGAACGCCGGAATTGATGCCAATGGTATCAGACGATACACCGTCCACCACCACGTGAAGCGATCTGCCTGAAAGAAAACTCGATAAGAGATGGCATAGCTGAGGTGGTAAGCCGTATGATGGTAGTTTGTGGAGGAGTCCTTCGTGCCATACACGGTCGAATGCTCTCGATATGTCCAACGCGACAGCTAGAGATTCCCCGTGTTTTTCTATCGAAGATTGCCATAAATGGGTGACGTAGGCAAGTAGATCTCCAGAAGATCTTCGGTGGCGAAAGCCGTATTGTCTATCATTGATGATTCCTGAGCTCTCCAGATATTTTATAAGCTCAATATTGATGGCTTTCTCCATCACTTTGGAGATTACTGATAACAGGGCAATGGGCCTGTAGTTGTTGGGCAGGTTCTTGTTCCCTTTTTTGGGAATTGGTTGGACTCTAGCTGTCTTCCAGCATGATGGAAAAATACCCGACCTGTACGAGATGGTAAACAACTTGCAGAGAATCGGTGTTAATTCTGGTGCACATTTTTTGAGGATAATGGGTGGAATTCCATCAGGACCGTTAGCCTTATTCGTTTTGAGACCAAGCAAAATTCGTCTGATAGTGCGTTGACGGAAGACGATTTCGGGCATTCGACTCTCAACGGGTGGAATGTCTGGCGGCACTTTTCCTTGGGAATCTAAAGTAGAGTTTGCTGCGAAAATTTCTGCAAAAATATTCGCTTCCTCCTGCGATGTTGTTGCTAATGTGCCGTCGGATCTGGACAGTGGTGGAAATGAACCGACCGCTTTAGCAAGGGACCAAAACGAACGGGAGCCATTGGGACAATCTATGAGTTTCGATCTGATCTTGGCATTGTATGTTTCTTTCGAAGCATCTATTGTTTGGCTGCAGTTATTCCTGGCATCAACGTATTCTGCTCTAGTCGCGAGGTTAGGGTTTTTGCGCCAGCGATGGTAGGCTGTTTGTTTCAAGGCAACAGTTCTAGAACAGCTTTTGTTGAACCAGGGTTTCGAAGGTGATGATCTTTTCGAATGAGGTATGTATGTTTTCATTCCGAGCATGATGATCCTGATCCTGGCAACAAATATTCGATGAACATTCAATTTGACATAACCTCAGAATAATTTGAGGATATACAGAATTATATATCAAATGATATGGTTGTTATTCTTGTATCAATATTTATAATGTTTTCCCTGACCCACCCTATTATTCTCAAGCCTCAATCAATGCTCTTTAATAATGAAGTGCATGTTGATGCATATTTCCATTCATATCATTCATCATATAAGGTTCCTAAAGCGAAGTGGACAAGGTGCAAAGATTGTGGAAATTCAATCACAAGAAAGTAGTTTCGATTCCCCAGCCAGAAAAGCTCTTTTCAAATGTTATTCTTCTTTCTATAATATACCCACCAGGAGTGGTTTCTTTGCAGCAATTAAATGTGCCCAAACCCAAAACGCTTTGTTGTGTTCATTCGAAGGCTATCAAGAAAGCCAGGAAGAATATATTTTTGTGACATCCCAAGGATAATATATTTAAAAACGCCGCCTGCGGCGGGCGTTGGCTGTTCTTTCAGAGTTCTATTCATGTGTGAACAGGATATCGCAGTGCTGGTTCAATGTCTCGCCAACTCGTACTTTCAACATCTCTGAGATGTTTTTTTGCCCGCTGGGTTCTAGCATATCATATCGTTCCTTAGGTGGTAAGCTGAAAGAAACTGCTCTACACATAGCAGCGAGAGTAAAAGACGGTGAGAAATGTGCCTTGATGTTGCTCAAGTCTGGAGCCGGGCCGAATATGGCTACACATGATGGAAATACTCCAGTACATGTCGCTGCCAGATATGGAAATCTTCAAACGCTCCTCTTACTCCTAGAGGATGGAGGAGATCCGAATTTCAAGAATAAGGTAATATTAATACTTGTTAGTCACTATGAAATATTCATTAATTCACCTTGAGTTTTCGCTTTCCTACTGGGTAGTTACTTAATGTACTTGACACTGCTGTTTTGACGTGTTATGTCAATCAGCCACTTTCATTTCTCCATCTGAGGCGATCCATTTCACAGTGTAGTGAAGATGATAAGGCTGGAAGAAAATCTTACAAATGTCAAAACTTTACAAACGATAAGATTTCCACAAAATTCTTAGTCACACGACATGTTTCGCTAGCACAGTAGCTTCTTCAGGTGAAATACTGGTATATACAATGAAATGAACTTACCTTGGCTTGCCTAACTCTTATATATTCTACTTCCCCAATCTGAACGATCAAATTACCTGTGAAAATGTTCGAGAAACCTTCATATTCAGAAAATAGTTTCAATATTTACATCAAAAGTATAGTTTGTATATCCCTGAATTTTCTAATTTAGAAGTTTTTTCTTTATCATTTTCAATATACTTTCTTTGTAGATATTGATTTATATGAATTTGCTATCAACCCCTTCAAATTAATCCGTTACACCGTATTTCAATGTAGATATTGGGCCTCTTTTCCGAGAATGAAGGTTTATGAACCTTTCCACAGGCAATGCCACAGGTAATTCTCATCCCTCAGTTTGAGAAAGTAGGAAAGCCAAGGTTAGTTTATTTTATTGTACAAGTATTTCACCTGATGAAGATACTGTGTTATCGTTTGTGAAGTTTTTACATATGCAATGGATTTCCATCAAGTAATGGTCGAGTCAATTAAAAAAAAAGAAAAAAATCCTTCAGTCAACTCCACCGGAACTATATTCAATTATCAAGCTTTATCAACAGAAAAATTTTTACAAATAGTTCTACAATATGATAAAAACCATGTGAGACACATGTCTGACAATGAACATTGTAGTAGCCTTACCTGTTCTGGGAAAGAGTTCATTTGTTCACATGTCGAAGGAACACATTATACAAAAAATCAAATATTAGTTACGATGAAGGGACCGCAAGAAATAATAAAAATGAATATATGGTTCATTTGGGAATCATTTCTCACATTTTCGGAGTGGATACTTCCCTCTACTCGAGATGTCGCTGTTTTATGTCACCTTTGGCTGTTCTCGTATTTTTAGGCAGGTTTCACTTCAGGCTGTTTAGCGCTGATTTGAGCCAATAGTCGAAAATCGTTCTGCAATCGTTTAGGCGTAACCTTACTTTGATTCCAACACAATTCAAATCAATGTTCTGCGTGGTATCAGCCAAGGAAGCAATTAGTAGTTGTTTTCATTTCTCGTTATCATCCATTATTATTTCTTTGCTTTCTCCAAATTTTGAATTGACTCGGCCGTTACTTGATGGAAATCTATAGTACATGTAGAAAACTTCACAAACACACGACATGTTTTGCTAACACAGTAGCTTCTTCAGGATTATACAAACTCAACTGTGGATCTTGTCCTGAGGTATATATCGGTCAGACAGGTCAATCCTTTGATCAGCGCATTCATGAAAATAATATGGATTTTTTTCAAAAAGAAAACAAATTCAACATATGTGAACCATATATTGGAAGAAAACCATAGTTCTGATGATAATTTTAAAATTTTACACGTAGAAAATAAAGGAAACCACTGTTGAATTTGTTTTCTCAGCAGGAGATAATGTATTTGCGATCAACTCTTGAAGTTAATCCTTAACACCGTATTTTAGAGTAGATATGCCAATTGTGCCTACTTTCCGAAAATGGAGGTTTATCGAACCAATTCTAATCCTTCAGGTTAGGGAAGTAGGATATTAAAGATCAAGAATTGTGTGAAATCTCATCGTTTGTGAAGTTTTTTCCATTCACTATGACTTTCCATCAAGTACCGGCCGAGTCAATTCAAGTATTGATAATGAATGTTTCGTAATCCCATACTGTTATTTTGATTTTACGGTATTCAGATGACAATTGAAAAGTTAATGTTAGCCATCCGTTAAGATTGTATACACAGAGAAAAAGAATTTGTTGCATCAACAAATTATTTATGCTTTTATTATTTTTGTTGGACTGAGCAATTTTTTGTTGAATCAATCAGGTACATGCTCATTTTATGAAAGCAGCTTGTTCGAATCAGGAATGTAGTCTGATTGTATTAACAGTATAATATCAATTCCATCAACAAAATATATGGTTTTCTCAAAAACAAATTATGTCGATCCAAAGTAATATCGATGTTGATTCAACTATAAACATTTTGTTGATTTGATGAAATAATGATCATTTTGTTGGGAATATTTCTCTGAAACAACATACAAAGATGTAATATCAATGAAATATTTTGTTCATTCCACATCAAGTTAAATTTTAGCCTCTAGATGGCTATCATTCCACTTGGTCTATGCCTACCTCGAATTCATCAAATATGTGAAGCCTGATTCTTCGTGTTTGGAATATCAACTGGATAAATCGAACTCAGGATGATTAGCAATCCGAAATAGCTCTGCATCAGCTGAAGAGAAGTAAAGACTGGAGAACTATGCTAGAAGTCGACTTTATTTTCCTAGTTGAGTTAATTCTATTGATGTGAAATTTCAGGAAACTCCCGAATTGATACTGAATCTGGTACAACGACACAATTTGTCGAATGGAAATAAAGTTTCTCTTGAATCAACGAAATATTTCATTGAATCAACAAAATATTTCATTGAATTATCCAAATATTTCATTGAATCAACCGAATAATTCATTGGATCAATCAAATATTATCTCCTTGAATCAACCAAATATTTCAATTTGAGTCAATTCAATATCTCTTCATGAACAATTCATGGATGTGCTTGATTCAATATATGTTCCAGAGTTCATGCAAGGCATATTTACTTGATTCAAACTTCAAATTCGCTCTGAAACAAGATATACAGGGTGTTATTTAAGTACGTGGCCAAACTTGAAGGGGTGATTCTTTGAGTGATTCTTAGACGAAAAGTTCATATAAACATAGGTCCGGTAATGCTTCGTTTTCAAGATACAGGGTGTCAAAATTTTTAAAAGAAATCGTTTTTTTCGTAAATATCTTAATAACCCTTCGACCGATTTCATTGAAATTTGGCAGTGTTATTCAAGGTCATAAAGGGCTAATTTAACCCTAACTATATCAAAATTATCATGTCCAGTGGCGTCCCGGAAGGCACTGTAACCAATATTTTTGACACAAAAAATGTGCGCCACTGATTTTTTTGCAATTTTTGTATTTGTTCCACATTGAGCAACTAAAATTACAACTTTTTTATATCTAGAATTGTTTTCGTATCTTGCTTTGTTTTTGAGAAAAAACATAAAAATCACTTCATTGCACATCCCTGTGACAACACAATAAAACATTTCAACTACTAAACCATCAAAAACTGGGGTCTTACTAATATGTTTGATATAGTTAGGGTTAAATTAGCCCTTTACGACCTTGAATAACACTGCCAAATTTTAATAAAATCGGTTGAAGGGTTATTAAGATATTTACGAAAAAAACGATTTCTTTCAAAAATTTTGACACCCTGTATCTTGAAAACGAAGCAATACCGGACCTATGTTTATATGAACTTTTCGTCTTAGAATCACCCAAAGAATCACCCCTTCAAGTTCGGCCACGTACTTAAATAACACCCTGTAGAGTTACTCATTTCAAGATTATATTTTGTCGTGCATATATTAAACTTTTATTTGCTTCATTCAATTACATTTTCCTTGATTCAACAATTTTCTTTCTTCTGTGTGACGATCTGCGGCCGTTAACTGTCTCATAACAACACGATGTTGGGACTTTTTGACTGAATCACTAAGTACGTGGTTTGTTCTTTCCTCGGAATCAAAATGTTATCTTTCATCAGCGGGATTACGAAAAGTCTTGACGACACACGGCTGATACGCAAATAACGGCCTTGTTAACGTTAATAACCATATATTTGTGAAATGGATTCACTGAATTCTTCTATGATGAAAAATTCATTCCAGAAAGGTGAGACTCCGTTGCATTTGGCAAGTAGAGCTTGCCGCCCAGATGTCGTCAGACACTTGATCAAATATCTGAAGGAGCACAAAGGCGAAGACAAAGCAGCTGCCTACGTGAACGAAGAGAACGAAAACGACGAAAGTGCTCTTCATTACGTGTGTACAGTGACGACTGGAGAAGTGGAAGTGCCAAATTCCGATAGAGAGGTAGTCAAACTCTTGTTCGAGAATGGAGCCGACGTCAAGTTGCAAACCAAGCAACACGAATCGGCTCTTCATTACGTAGCTCTAGCTGGTAATAATGATGTCCTGATGGAGATGTTAGCCAATATGAGTCCCACCGATGCCCAAAAAGGACTCAACAGGCAGAATGTTCACGGCTGGACACCCCTGTTGATTGCCTCAAGGAAAGGTATCTACAACCGTTTGTTCATTTCTCAATTCCTTATGAAGAATTATTGATCCTAGTGATTGGACGACTCGAGGCGAAATTCGTGCAAAATATAATCCTGTATAATCCTGTGATTTTACAGAATACTACACTGGGGAAAATTTATATCAACCATAGCTAGAAATCGAATTATCCCAGCACCCGTGATTATGAAGCAGACTCTGCTGATTATAGCCCACCTACGATTATTAGATATAGAACCTTACTGCCACTAGCTAGTGCATCTGTATATTGCTATCAGACGATGTTTCTGTAGTAGGTATATGACTCTGTACCGCTAGTGACTGCATCTAATAATAGGTGTAGGGCAATTTTATATTCGTAGGTAGAGAACTTTGCTAATCTTGGTGGGTGATTATATAGTTGCATCACCTTCTTGCTGTGGTTATTCAGTTATTTTCCAGGATTGTTGTCATAAAAAATGTGATATTTGGACTGAAGTCCTTTTTCACTCCCTGTAATTTCCACCCTGGTGTTTGGTATGAATGGCAATTTTTTGATTCCTAAAAAAATGTCTAACCAATCATCTCCGAAATTCAATATATCAATTGATTCACCCACCCAATTTGACAATTTTATAGTTTCATAGGACCAAAAAATAGGTAATGTTGAATGTAAAAGATTGAATTATCAATCCTGATAAAATAATTGAAGCACTCAGATCTACGAAAGCACTGAAAGGGACACTGAACATTTTTTCATTTGTTCAATAATGTTATCATTTGGATTCAGATTTAGATTCTGAATAATGAATTGGATTGAAGAGAGGAAGTATTCGTAACTGTCGTGTCATCAAGATTGTCGTCCTGTACATGGAGTTTGACCAACTGCAGGGAATGATTGAACATGTCTTTGGGACGCAAGATGTCTGACAAATGCTCATAGTGGGAAAAAATTTGTGAAATATCGAATAACAATAAGTAGGCGCTGAATAACCCCAAGAGAATCGTTAAATATTATTTTCGTGGCAGGCATAAACTCACTGGTAGTAATTCAGCTAAACAATTATAAAAAAAAATCATGCTGTCCCAGAGTAACTACCCGATAGGGCACTTTCAGCAAAGTCGTTTTTGCTATCACAGGATTTTAATGTGCTGCTTCTATTGAAAAATGTTTAACGGTAATAGGATTCCTTGTAATGGTAGCAAGAAATATCTCAGCAAAAACTAATAGCACAATTTTTCTCAGTGCATGTATAAGCAGACATATGATATAATTTTATCTATCTATAGCAATTTCTCTAGTCATATGTTCTTCAGGAATTTCGGGTAATGAAGTTCTAGGTAGGATCCCTTTTCCTGTCCATAAAAACTGCATTCATTTTCTTTCTCTAAGCCGAGATTCCTAAAGTGACCTCTCATCTGATAATACTTTGTTAGAACTCATGTTACTATACGAAAATTGTCTGCGTCAGATCCCTATGATTGTTATCGTCCACAGTAGTATCATTCTCCTGAGATATGTTGTCTGCCTCAACGTCTTGCTCTATAATTCCTTCCATCATGAAAGGTCTATACAAAATCTCAGCTCATATTTCTGAGGTCAAAATGAGCCTATTTGTAGCAACTCATCTCAGTTCGAAATTGCTCCGTTTCAAGATACAGGGTGTTGAAGATAAAAAATTAAAATCGACAAAAACACTTCAAGAAAGTATTTTGAAAAATTCATTTTCGCACTGATATTTCACTGATCAAATTACATCAACGACGATAACAGTTAACATTTTTCATAAACTCAAAGCCAAAAGAACCCAACTATCATCAAGCTCAACATTGGCACAAACTTGTAAAAAAATTGTTTTAGTTCACTCAAACGAGTTTCTTCTTCATTTTCACGAAAGTTGTGCCAATGTTGAACCTGATGATAATTGTTTTTTTTTTCTGTTTAGTCGGTTCAAATATTTGAGTATTCCTTTATCTGACTGATTTTTGGCCAAATGACTCCACGGCTCTTCAATTTCTATTTTTATTATATAATGTGATTTCCATATGGCCTTATATAGGTACTGTGTACAGATTTGTCTGAAGATGGCTGAAACTAGTCACAATACATTTTGTGTCATATATTTTTTGTAGTCGACCGACTTGGTGTCATTTTGTTTTTTCTTTGACTACTTTGAGAAGGATGGATGGTTTCCATGACTGATGTTAGTTAACTCCAATGCATCAAGAGCCCAGGAGGATTTTTTCATGTATATTTTTCAACATCAAAATATATATACAAAATGATGCCCTCCAAAAGGCAAACTGGGTGAAATCACGTCCGAAAATCTGTCACTACATGCCGGTCTATTTTGATGCTCCAAGCGTGAGCTGGCAACTTCTTTATTTAGAGTCTGGACAAGTTGAGCAAGTTCACAAAGGAAATGTCCAAGCTTTCACAATATATTAATGTATCACAAATTTCATAATAGAAGTCATGAAGGAGCGAAATCAGAAGAAACTTTTTTTGCAGACCGTAAATGACTGCTATCAAGAATTTGTCTTCTATGATCGTTACATCTACCAGGTCAAGTTGTTCGCTAAGAACTGAAAATGCAAATTCTTGATAGTGCGAAAATATGAGACTAAAGCTCATCATCTTCCAGAAATCGTATCTCACCTCGGTATCGCAAACCACTAATAACAACGTCTTGTATTCCAATTCCATCAGGATTTATCACCTTGCGACACGAACATTTCCACTTCCTTGCAAACACAACTAACAATATCAAATTTTCCAGGTCACATAGAAATGGTAAACAATCTCCTGGCAAATCACGCAAGGGTAGACGTGTTCGACACAGAAGGCCGATCAGCTCTACACTTGGCAGCAGAACAAGGCTATCTACAAGTGTGCGATTCCCTCCTCACCAACAAAGCATTCATCAATTCCAAATCAAGGAACGGCCGGACTGCTCTACACTTAGCAGCCATGAACGGCTACATCCACCTCGTCAAATTCCTCATCAAAGACCACAACGCGGTCATCGACATCCTGACTCTGAAGAAACAAACCCCGCTACATCTAGCTGCAGCTTCCGGTCAGATAGAGGTCTGCAAGCTGCTGCTGGAGCTGGGCGCAGACATAGACGCGACCGACGAACAGGGCCAGAAGCCCATCCACGCAGCCTGCCAAAACAATCATTCCGAAGTTGCCAAACTATTTTTACAGCAGCACCCTAGCTTAGTGATGGCCACAGCAAAAGACGGTAATACCTGTGCGCATATCGCAGCCTCCCAAGGAAGCGTCACCGTGATAGAAGAACTGATGAAGTTTGACAGGCAAGGGGTGATATCCGCCCGAAACAAGCTGACGGACGCTACCCCACTGCAAATGGCTGCCGAAGGGGGGCATGCGGAAGTTGTGAAGGCTTTGGTGAGGGCAGGTGCTAGTGTGACAGACGAGAACAAAGCTGGATTCACGGCGGTGCATCTGGCTGCCCAGTACGGGCATATGCAAGTTCTCGAAGTGCTGCGCTCTTCTAACACTCTGCGAGTGACCAGCAAGAAGCTGGGCGTGACTCCTTTGCATGTGGCTGCCTATTTCGGCCAAGCTGATACAGTGCGGGAGCTGTTGACTCATGTACCTGGTACTGTTAAGTCTGATTCACCAAACGGGGCTTCGTTGGTGCCCGCTCTTGGTAATGAATCCGGTATGACGCCGCTTCATCTGGCGTCCTTTTCCGGGAACGAGAACGTCGTTAGGTTACTCTTGAACTCGGCAGGAGTGCAAGTGGATGCTGCTACACACGAGAATGTGAGTAATTGACTCCCTGCGTGGACATATTTTAAACTTTTTCGTTTTTCGGTAGGGTTATAACCCGATGCATCTAGCTTGTTATGGTGGGCATGGTACTGTGGTAGGTTTGCTATTGAGCAGATCTGCTGAACTATTAGAGAGCCACGATAAACATGGGAAGACCGGATTGCATATTGCAGCTCAGCACGGGCATTACCAAATGGTCGAAGTTCTGTTAGGTAAGCAATATTTATCAATGAAATTGTGATCGCAAACGTTACATGGATCAGAATTTCAGAATTTTCAATAAACTAGACAGGCCCAAGTCAGCATATCCTTTCGTTGTCAACCTTGAAATATGTCCAACAACAATTCACCAAAAACGTTTATAGAGCGGCAAAACTTTGAAATCCTTTGCCAATGAAACTATTCCAAAGAACTATAACCTCCAAAAGTTCAAAACACCTCCAAAACCTATCTCCCCTACCTATACCTATACCTCATTGAGGATTCTGCACATCCAGCTATTGAGGCAACCTTAACCTCCAAATGCCTTAAACTAAGTTCGAAAGAGCCATACTTCATACGTAAATACACACAGGCTGACTATAACTTGATAAATGAAAGCATTAGTACTCGAGACTGGCAATCTATTCTTCAACATGAGGATATTAATGTGTGCGTTGAAAATTTCTATAGAGAGATTGAGGATATTATCCAAACTCACGTGCGAACCAAATCCATGAACAAGAAGAAACATCCACTATGGTTTTCTCCAAATACAATTTCTGCACTAAAGACAAAAGATAGATATCACAGAAAGTGGAAAACATATCATAATATTTCAGACTATGATCAGTTCTCGCATCTGCGCAGAGAGGTGAAGCGCCGTGTATAAGAGGATTATCAGGCATACATTGAAAAAACAGAATCAAATTTGCAAAATGATACTAAAACCTTCTGGTCATTCCTTGCGAATAAGAAAACAAACAAATCTTTTCCACAACAGATGTCCTTAAATGAAGTAAAATCATCCGACAAAGTAACCATTTGTAACCTTTTTGCAGACTATTTTGGAAGCGTGTATGTGTCAAATTCAACTCCCTGTGTAATTCAAGCGAACTCTGGGACGAATTATAATCATAAATCAATAATTATTGAACACATTTCTTGTCAACAGATCAAAAATGCCTTACACACACTTGATCCAAAAAAAGGACCTGGTCCAGACGGAATTCCGTCAATTTTTATAAAAAATTGTTCAGAGACCTTGATCGAACCTTTGTATATTTTATATAACAAAATCCTGAAATCCGGTAGTTATCCGGAAATATGGAAATGTGCGAATATTATCCCTGTCTTTAAAGCTGGTGATAAACACAAAATCCCAAATTATCGACCAATATCCCTATTGGATCATTTTGGAAAAATTTTTGAGGCAATCTTAACCCAAGAGCTCTTCTTTATTACCAGACAACTAATCTCGCCACAACAGCATGGATTTTTCAAAAAACGATCTGTGGTAACCAACATGGCCCCATATGCTCAGGATATCCTTGAATCTTTTGACGAGGGCGCCTCCGTATGCGCGGTGTACACCGATTTCTGGAAGGCCTTCGATAGGGTTCACTTGCCAACTCTCATTATGAAGCTCGAGAATTTCGGTGTACACGGGTCGCTGCTGGGGTTACTCTCGTCATATGTTACGGACAGAATCCAACACGTTACATTCAATAATCTGAAATCACGTCCCATAAAAGTAACATCTGGGGTGCCACAAGGATCCCATCTCGGTCCCCTTCTATTTAGTATTTTTCTAAACGATATCGGTTCCTGCTTTCAGCATACCAGTCACACTCTCTATGCAGATGATCTTAAAATATACAGGAGAATAACCTCTGTGGACGACTATGATCTTATTCAATCCGATCTCAATCGGTTTTATTGCTATTGTCAAGCGCATAAATTTTTGGTCAACCCCGCGAAATGTAACTCAATCGTTTTTTCCAGATCCTTATCTCCAGTTTACAAGGATCTTTTGCTGAACAATGATAGAATTGAGTTAACCAATACGGTTAAAGACCTCGGTATTCAAATGGATTCAAAGTTATCTTTCGACGAGCATGTAGAGCTCATTACTCGAAAACCATGAGAAATTTGGGTTTCATTTTTAGGACAACAAGAGAATTCAAAAATCTCTCATCAATCATTAAATTATTCAACATAACAGTCAGACCAATTATTGAATTTTCCCCAGTAGTATGGAATCCGTTTTATTTGAAGTATACAACGCGCATTGAGCGAGTTCAGAAAAAGCTAATTAACTTCATTAACTATAAGTTCAACCGACAACGCCACCAATATTCTTATACATCCAATCTTAAATTTTATAACTTGTCCTCAATAGCTGACCGTAGAACATATTATGATATTTGTTTTGTCTTCAAAGTCTTCAACAACCTTGTTGACTCTGAATACTGCCTTCAATTCTTTAACATAAACTGTAATCCTTACATTCATCGCAGAAGAAATATGTTTGCTATAAAAACGTATAGATCTAATTATATGCAAAACGCACCTTTGTGTAGATGTGCCCTCTCCTATAACAATATTTCCATGTCCAACGATTATGAAGTTGATATCTATCGATTATGCTTCAGATCATTCAAACTTATGTTAAATAGCAGAATAACCGGAAACTGAATCTCATATAGATTCCACTTTGATTTGTATTTATGTATATATCACCAGTAATTTTGTATGTTGAAATATTTTAGTTTTTAAGTAATATGACCTTACCAAAGAACGGTATTTCTAATTTGGATAATAATTGATAATTCATACACTTGTACACCAAAAAATAAATTTTCCAGGGTTGGTTAGATATTTAGTTTAAGATGGATTAGTTTACTGTGGGTTTACTCGAAAAATGTATTATTATTTAATGTACTTTAGTGTTGCCTTATAATAGGATTGTAAAATCTGTTAGGCAACCTGTTTCTGTAAAATAAAAAAAAATAAATAAAAAATATACTTCTAGGTGGGCACGATGTTCTTCGAACATCATAGGAATTTTCTTTCGTGCGCTCCAAGAAAAAAATGTATTTTCAAGAATTAGACATTTCGTATAGTGAGGTTGGTCACAAAGGTGTCAAATTTGGATAATGAATTGAATCGGGGCCACTGCTAGAACTATTATATTTCTATACGATCACAACCTTTGATGTCCCAATTATTGAATATTAGCAAAAACAACTTCTCGAATCCCCATTTTCCAAACCAATTATAATTAATCGACATTGACAAAAGACAATGTATTCGACTCAACTTTACAGTAACTGTTCCCAACATTAAGCACAAAATATGTAACTCATTCCAACTGAAATATATTGTCATCAGTCAAATTCAAATTTCTACTTCAGTGGCTTTTTCTATGGATTTCTGAGGGTTTCATAAATGAAAAACTTCAAACAATGGAATGAAGTGGGGAAAACCTAGACATTAAACTGAAATCTCTTTACAATCTCACGATTGAAGAGTACCCACTTGTTTGATTCTCCCCTCCTATTTGAATCAAAAGATTGAACTGGAACAAAGTTTTAATTCTTGATAGCTCGCAAAATTGGTTCAATGTGAAGACAATATTTTCAAATGCTCTCAGAACGAAAGCATCTGGTAGCTTTTCATACCGCCCAAAATACTAACACGGTGCACATTAATATTAAAATATCCGTGAGCTAAAATCTAATATTTTTCCCGTGTATACTACACTATTTTTTTCTATGACAGAAGAAAGGACGAATCAATATTGTGAAGATATTACATTATAGTCGACGTGAAATTTTAAGTTTTTAACAGTAGGGACACCTGCGTTGTAGGCATCTTTATCATTCTTTTGAAGTAATCAAATACTGATGTCCCTTCTGGCAGTCTAATTATGTGATTCGATTCGAAATATTCGCGAAGTCGAATGGAGGATAAAAGGACTTGTAGTTCTTTCTCGGAGACGGTATTATTGACTCATTTTTCGGAACTATAGCACAACAAAAGCCATCAATAGTGTATATATATGTGATATATATCCGGGAAAAAAGTAATTTATGAAAAGTGACATTTTATAATCTGCCAATAACAGAAATGAAATGCCAAACTTTTTTCCCGTCACAGAAAAAAAAACAATAATTTACAATAGATGAGTTCTTTATTACCTACATTAATTAGAAAATTTATCTGCATTTCTTTGTTTCCTTCATCATTGCTCACTTGGTTGTTTCAATTATTTCTTCTTATTTATGAACTAGGTATATATTTCGTATTTTATATATTTTTTTCGATTCAATGGATGAATGAAGACTGGACTTAATTATAGGTGTATCAATTTTTCGATTGAAAAAAAAACTAAATTTTGGCTTCCAAGTCATACCCAAATGTTCTTCGAAGGTTATTCGCAAGTCGGAACTAACGGTGACCGATTAAATAAATCGTGGCTGCAGGGACTAACTTTTTCTTCTTCTGATGCAGACAAAAATTAAGAATATTGAGTAAGGATTGAAAAACTGAAAATGCCATAATTTCGAAATTTCTTCAAAGGAAATCATGACTTCGTGTTCTCTTTCCCAGGCCAAGGCGCCGAAATCAACGCCCAAGACAGAAACGGCTGGACCCCACTGCATTGCGCCGCTCGTGCCGGCTGCTTCGACGTCGTCCGACTGTTGGTGGAGTCAGGAGCGTCGCCCAAGTCGGAGACCAATCTGGGGGCGGCGCCCATCTGGTTCGCCGCCTCCGAGGGCCACCACGCCGTCCTCGAGTACCTCATGACCAAGGAGCATGATACTTATGCCCTTATGGACGATCGGAGGTAATTTCGCATGATTTGCAATTTTTTTTACATTTCGATTTTTTGTTACTTGCGTATTTTCGTCAGATGAACACGAATATCATTATGTAAATGTGAAGGAACCACGATCTATAGAGACATTCGACGAAAAATTTCGAAATTTCACGTTTTCCGCCTGTCTTGGATACGCATTTTTTTAATGTTCCGGTTCCCACGGAAAGGGATATCCAGTAATGTTCAGAGAACATGGTAAGAACCAAGGAAAATAACGTAGGAATTGATATTCTTCTTCGATTTCTGGAGGTTATATGCCTCGGGGAACACCTCCCTTGGCAATGTATTCCAGAGCCTCGCTGTTCGTTGTATAAACAAGTCTTTGGAAAGCAGGTCTCCGAAGTGACCACGAAGGGGTGCGAAGCCTCAACTCTTCGGGTTAATCTCGCGGAGACTGCCAAGGGAGGAACAATTGTTGATATTTCAGAAGCGCATCGTCCATGAAAAAATAAAATAGAGCCAGATCACCAAATTTTCCTACGGTGTTTCAGAGAAGTGAGTTAGTTTGTGAGCGAGGCATCACCCTCGAGATGCCTTTTTTTGAACAGAATCCAACAGTTTCAGGGTATGTTTGGGTGCTGCACTCCAAATATGGGAACAGTATTTCATGACAAGTTGGATCTGTGCCTTATAGATCATAAGCAGCTGCCTGTAAGTGCTCCTGGCCCAAAACAGAAAACCAATTTTTTGAGATGCACTTTTAGCAAATTAATCCCACGTGATCTTCCCAAGGAAGGTTATTGCTGATAGTAATACCAATCACCGAAATGGATGTCTTCAAAAGTATGGTTACTCCTGACAAGCTTATGTTGGGCACAGTGAGATCGGCTTTGCTAGAGAAAAGGCATTCTTCTGTTTTGTTTACATTGAAATCTACCAAGTTATTGGATCCCCATTGAAGAATTGTTGCCAAGTCCATATTTATGTTGTCAACATTTTCTCCTCGTTCGTTTCTGGTTTGCCTGGCTGGTATCGGAGCCCTGGAAGAGAAGGCGATATGTAGCGTAATATCATCTGCGAAGCTGTGAACTGGACATGGAGTTGCTTTCAACAAATCGTTGATATGGAGTAGAAAAAGTGTTGGTGCTAGAATTGATCCTTGCGGATCCTTGTGATAAGAGAGTCAGATGAAACTCCGTCGACCACTACATGGAGAGACCTGTTTGAGAGAAAACTAGCTAGCAGAGAACATAGCTGGGGAGGCAAGTCATAAGATGGAAGCTTGGCGAGGAGTCCGTAGTGCCAGACTCGATCAAATGCCTTGGAGATATCAAGTGCCACGGCTAAGGTTTCACCATATTTCTCAATAGATCGCTGCCATATATGTGAGACGTAAGCGAGCAGGTCACCAGTTAATCTCTGATGACGGAAGCCATATTGCCTACCGCTGATACCTGAATGTTCCAGGTACTCCATGAGCAAGATTTTGATAGCTTCCTCCATGATCTTTGAAATAATAGATAGCAGTGCGATCGGTCTGAGGTTGCTAGGTTGCTAGGTAGGGCCTTTTTTAGGAACTGGTTGTACTCTTTTAATCTTCCAGTTGGACGGCGATATCGCAGTTGAACAACTTGCAGAGAACATGTGTTAGTTCGGGAGCACATTTCTTGAGAACAATCGGTGGGGTTTCGTCGGAGTCACAAGCTTTGTTGGTGTTGAGACCCAATAAAATCGTCCTTATAGTACGTTGGAGAAAGGTGATCTCGGGCATATCACTGTCAATTGGCGTTATGTTTGGAGGTTGTTTTTCCGATGAATCCAGAGTGGAATTTCCAGCAAATAAATGCGCGAAAATGTTGGCTTCCTCCTGGGCAGTTATGGCTAGTGTTCCATCTTCCTTGATTAGAGGAGGAAACGAGATGGAACTGAAGTTTTTTCCTACAGCTTTGGCGAAGGACCAAAATGAACGGGATACGTTAGGACATTCAACAAGTTTTGATCTTATTTTAGCATTATGAGCATCCTTTGATGATCGAATTGTCTCATTGTATATGCCTCTAGGCTCGACATATTCTGCTCATGTCGCAGGGCCTGGATTCTTGTCGCAGGGCCTGGATTCTTCTGCCATCGATAGAATTCTGCCTGTTTGGAAGCGACAGCCCTAGAGCAGTTTCTACTGAACCAGGTCTTATCGGAAGATGTTCTCCTTACAGCGTTCGGTATGTAGGTTTGCATCCCCAACATGCTGATTTCAGAAATTGTCTGAGCACATCGTGTTGGATCTGCTGAGGAGAAATAAACTCTCTTCCATGGAGACGCTGAAAAATACATACGAAGAGAATTGGTGGGGAAAAAATACAGGGTGATTCACTTCGTGAGTAATATTCATCATCATGCGCTCCTTTGATATACTATTTCGCCATAGTTGAAGGAATAGTTATCAATAGTCATCTTGGTGTTGCCAGCTTCCGTCAACACTGCTGACAAACTCTCCAACATTCTGATTCTCTCGTCCAACAAAGAAAAAGAAAGTGCCAAAGACTTGATCGATGCCAGCAAGTTTAGCGAGGTGATTTCAACCGAGTTGTTAGCGTTGCCATAATGAAAAAAACTCAGTTTCTTCAGTATCTAATGTTGTGTGTTGTGCTGATAGAGTCATTGTTTTTGTCCTAGTAATTCTTTTGATCTCGTCCCTTCCTTTCCAGGTTCGTGTTTCACCTGATGGTATGCTCCAAAAACCACAACAAAAAGCTCATCGACGAATTCATCTTGGTGTCTCCAGCTCCCGTCGCTTCTGCTGCCAAACTTTCCTACATTCTTATTTTATTATCAAAATCATTGTATTTATTCTAGTGATTATTTTTATCTCGTCCCCTTTTTTCCAGGTTCGTGTATAACCTGATGGTATGCTCCAAAAACCACAACAACAAGCCCATCGAGGAATTCATCTTGGTCTCCCCAGCTCCCGTCGACACTGCTGCCAAACTCTCCAACATCCTGATTCTGTTGTCCAACAAAGAGAAGGAGAGAGCCAAAGATCTGATCGCTGCCGGCAAGTTTTGTGAGGCGATGGCAACCGAGCTGTTAGCTTTGGCTGCCGGAGCAGATTCGGCGGGGAAAATTCTGACTGCAACTGACAGAAGGAGCGTGGAATTCTTGGATGTTTTGATCGAGAATGAGCAGAAGGAAGTCATAGCACATACTGTCGTTCAGCGATACCTTCAGGTAAAGTCTAGGTAAATTATTGAAATCCAAACAATAATTCATCACACCAAAACTTCCTCGCAATCTTCAGATATCACCAATGTAAACCCCCACTTTTTCTTTGTTGACCTTCTACAGGGATCTTCACAATATTACTTTTTCATGATCACACGGTTTGTGATTATTTATACAGGAGGTAGGCTATGTAGTGTAGATATTGAGACCTAATAATATATAGTTATAGATACATATACTCAAACATCTGATGTTCAGGCTCAGGCAGAGGAACAGTCACTGATAGTTCAAAATTGATTACATTTTCTGTTCAACATTCTGGGCATCTCACTTTATCCTTTGTTACAGTCACAGTAACGATATGTACAGTTCGCAAGTCACTGTTACAAGTGGATCTTTGTAAAACCCTTCTTCTTCGAATATCGCTAGTGATACGTTTACCAACAGATCGGAGACACTTTGGTGATAATTGAAGATTTCGTGAATTGAATGAGTTAAATCAATTTATTTTCGAGGCCCATCGGAAAAACTTGTCGACTAACAGAATAGCGATCAAGACATCGGAATGATCGAGACTGGATAAGTGAATCTTTTTTATTTTTCTTTTGAATTCTTTTTAGATTCTCCTGCTCTTTCAATAAAATTCGTTCATAAAAAAATCAAGCAGGATCTATTACGCTTTCGTTTAGTTGACCTCATTGTACCAATTAAAATAACACGCAAGAAGAGGATTCCGATGTTTTCAGAAATATAGTCGTCTTGAACCTAATGGTATTTTGTCGAAAATGTATAATAAATTGATATTCATCATACAGGACGTGGAGATATAATGTCAATTCTCAATTTCAGAGGATTTTGATTTCTTATGCTCTCTTTTTGGATATTCAACAGATATAATTCAATGTTCGACGTGGCAAATGGCCAGGAAAGTAGTTGTTTTCTGTTGAATATTCATAATCATATTATGTGCATATCTTTATATTTTGTTTTCGAATTCTTATCGTGTGTGTGTTCAATAATAGATGTAATTCAATGTTCGTCGTGGCATATAGCCAGGAGAGTAGTTGTTTTCTGTTTAATAAATCGAGAAAGAATATATATTTTCATCACATGGAGAATGCGAATTCTCAATGTATTTCTTTATACAGGGTGTTCCGTTGGGAAACGGAAATACTTCAACGGTGGATAGCCATGCCATCTCGGGCTGAATATTCCGGGTAAGATGGCATGGTATGCCATCTTGCCCAAACTGGACTTACTTGAAGTGAATAAATATTAAATGAGATGTCATTGTCAAAGTTCATTCAATAAAAAATATAACGGAAATGTAACGCTTAACTTACACCTCGACTTACACAGTCAGGTACAATGATAAATACCTAAAACTAAAATAAATAGAACCCAAAAATATGAAAAACAAATATAATTAATGAAAAAAGTGACGTTTGAAAAGAATATGGAGTACTACCATGTTTACTTAAATCTGCAACAACAATAGTATATTACATAACAAGAGTTGTAAAACGCATATTACGCACGAAGTGGAGAGAGTTACACACGATGCCGCATAGCGGCGAGTGTGTAACTCCACAAGTGCGTAATTGCTTTACAACTCGAGAATTGTACTATACTTTTTCTACGACTACACTATATTTTCTTCCGGATAGTGCAGATATTGTATTAAGGCACAAATAACGAATACCAATAAAAAACGTCTCCCGTCACTAAGCTAGCTGCATGAAAAGTTACAAATTACAATTCTTGTGTTTGTTCATTGATATATTGCATACCAAGACATTTTCCTCAATTCGAACTGAAATGGAGCCGTTTTTCATATCTAAACAGCTTTATTAATAGGTAGCCAAAAACACATTGTATAAAAATATAAAATTAACATTCATAATGGTTGTGACGGCGTATTAATATCAATGTTTATGTACACATTGTATATGGGAATTTTGATTATTATTGTCAATGTGGCAGAGTGAGTCACGTCACAATTTTGAAAAAGAATAAAGACTTTCTGTTTGAAACTGAAATATTTGATTATCTGTAACATTGTGGTCCTTCGAGAACAACTTGGAGCAGCTATGGACGGAAAAGATTCGAGAAAAGAAGGAAGATCTATGAGAGGAAATGCAGGAGTCAATGCAAGATTGTCCTGTGATTTTCAGTGGCCCAAAGGGTTTGGAGAAGGACGTGATGTGAACACTTCATCCATGATAGAACCCAATGGTGCTCCTCCTCAGAAGAATGGATCTATCCAGGTATTGCAGAATTTAACAAGTCCAACTATGAATCCACCAGTTGCTATAGAAGCAAAGCAACAAGCAAGTCTAGGAGATCACAAGTGTCTTTGTGTTTATCCAAGAAACGACTCGCCATTCAGACGGAACTAGAAAAGCAAGAATTAGAAAAGCAACGAAATGAAATTGAAAATAAAATGAAGATTCTTGAACTGGAACATCAATTGAGAGAAGCTGAGATAGAAGCAGTTGAAATTGAAGATAGCGAGTGTTCCAGTAAGGAAAACCAACGAAATCATGCCTGTTCTGTTACATCTGTTGCTCGATGGGTGAATGATATTGAAGTTGGTAAACATCCAATCGAAGAAAATGTAGAAGAAATAGTGAATATACAATCAATGAAGAAAGATCCAGCTACCACAGACATTCAATTACTGTGCGAAACACTTTCGAATGTCCTGAAATCGGTGTCCCCTGCTGGAAATGATAAGTTATTGGCAAGACATATAGTGGACAAAGATTTCCCAGTCTTTGATGGAAATCCTGAGAATTGGCCTTTATTTCTTCAAAGATATAAACAAATTGTGAAGATGTGTCAATATAGTGATGACGAAATATTGATTAAATTACAAAAAAGTTTGAAAGGGGAAGCAAAAACTGCTGTAGCTGGTATGCTGCTTTTATCTAGTAACGTCGACTTGATCATGGACACCTTGAAAATGCGCTTTGGCAGATCGGAACAAGTAATCGAGATGATGATTTCAAGAGTCAAAGCCATTCCACATTTCCGTGATACGAATGCTGACAAACTGATAAATTTGTCACATGAAGTCAGAAATCTTGTAGCTACCATGAAAGCTTTGGTATCTTTCGATCACCTCCACAACCCTCAGCTACTGAAAGATCTGGTAGGAAAATTACCAGACATTATAAAACTCAGATGGGGCGAACTTCTTGTACAAAAGGAGGGAAGAGCATCTCTGGAAGATTTTTCTACTTGGCTGGCGGAAATTGCGAACGCGGCTTGCTACATCAGTAATCCAAGTACTTCAGAAAATAAATCTTATCCAAAAAATCCAATAAGTTGGCAACCGAAGAGTGAAAGGATACTGACTACGAGGGAATTGAGAAAAGATATCTGCTGCTATTGTGAGAAAAATCACATGGAAGCTACCTGTCCCAAGAGGAAGCTGACGACGTGGACAACAGGTGGAAAACAATAACAGAGAAAAAATTGTGTTTTTCATGCCTCAAGAAGGGACATCAGAAATACAGATGTAAGAAACGTCAAGAATGTGGAACAGATGGATGCAAGTTTTTTCATCACCCACTACTACACAAAACTCCTCCAGTCACTAAGGATCAAGAATCACAACCATCAACGTCGAATTTCACCAATCAGAATGAAACAGTGCATTCCATCAGACACGACAACGCGAAGATTCTGCTCAGAATGGTTCCAGTATCTATTTTTGGAACAAACGGTAAGCTGAACGTCCTGGCATTGTGTGATGAGGCGTCAACTGTTACATTGGTTGAAGAGAGTCTTGCTAGAGAGCTGGGGTTGCAGGGAGAAAATGAGCCACTCTGTATCCAATGGACAAACGGAATAACTTCCAGTATGGACACATCTGAAAAATTGAGTTTTTGTATTTCTGGCGTTAAAGGAAAATCTAAGAAATATAATCTGAAGAATGTTCGAACCGTGAAAGGATTGTCTCTTCCAGAACAAACCATCAACATGGAGGATTGGAAGAGTTATGATTATTTGAAAGATCTTCCAATCGATGACTACGCTAATGAACGACCAATGATATTGATTGGCCAGGACAATATCAATTTGATACTACCCCGACAAATACGTAATGGACCCGAACATCTTCCGGTTGCTACGAAGTGCAAACTAGGTTGGTCTCTCCATGGTGTTTCTCCAGGTCAGCGTAGGATGCATGCTCAAATCCATCATATTTGTGAGAGTGAAGTTCGTCTGGAAGAAATGATGAAGAATTCTTTTTCGACTGAAGCATTTGGTGTAGCTATCGTTCCTCATATATTGAGCAAAGAAGATGCAAGAGCTATGGAACTCATGAATCAAACAGCCAAGAGAGTAGGTAATCGATTTGAGATAGGACTCCTCTGGAAATGCGAAGACGTCAAACTTCCAGAGAGTAAGATAATCGCTCTTCAAAGGCTCAAATGTTTAGAAAGAAAGTTCAGGAAAAATGAAGGGTTTGCCTCGCAGTATTGTGAGAAAATCAAAAGCTACATAGAAAAAGGATATGCTGAAAAAGTACCAGCAGAAGAAGCAAAGATCGAATCGACGAGGACTTGGTATATGCCACATTTCGCCACCGAAAATGTAAACAAACCTGGAAAAATTCGGTTGGTTTTCGATGCCTCCGCCAAAAGCAATGGGGAGAGTTTGAATGATAACCTGCTGTCCGGACCAGATTTATTACAGTCTCTCACATCAATTTTATGGAAGTTCAGGCAGCGAAAATACGGTATATGTGGTGACATACGTGAAATGTTTCACCAAGTGAACATTCGTAAGGAAGATCGATGTGCTCAGCGTTTCCTGTGGAGAGGATTGGACTATGAGAAAGCACCAGAAGTTTATGAGATGAGAGTGATGACGTTTGGTGCTGCATGTTCACCAGTATGTGCCCAATTCATCAAGAATTTGAATGCAGAACAAAAATCTCCTTCCGAAAAAGTCTTGAATGCCATCACCAAGAAATTTTATGTTGACGACTATTTGGATTCGTTAGATACAGAAGAAGAAGCACTTCAAATGGTACAAGATGTATATAAAGTTCATGCGCTTGGAGGTTTCGAAGTTGTGAACTGGATCTCGAATTCAAAATTAGTCAAAGAAACTCTGTCCGAAGACATGCTGATGATGAAGACATTCAATAATGATATTTGCTCGCCTGAGAGAGTTCTGGGGATATGGTGGCAGTCAACAACAGATGAACTTTTATTTAAAATCAATACTGAAGTCCTTAAAACTAGCGATTCGACCGAAAATTTCACGAAAAGGAAAATATTGAAAAATATCATGTCAGTATATGATCCCCTAGGCCTCCTAGCATGTTTCACAGTGCGAGCGAAGATACTTATGCAAGATGTGTGGCGCTTAGGAATCAGCTGGGATGAACATGTTCCTGAAAGTATTCAAGAAAAATGGCTCAGATGGTTGGAAGACCTCAAGGATATTGAAAGAGTCAGAATACCCAGATGTTATTCCACAAATATTCCCGCTGCAAAGCGACTTGAATTACATACATTTTGCGATAGTAGCGAGAAGGCATTTTGCAGTGTCACATATCTTCGAATCGTCGGAGACACTTCCATAGATGTATCGATGATATCAGCAAAGACCAGAGTTGCCCCGCTGAAGCCGTTGTCCATTCCGAGGCTTGAGCTGCAAGCTGCAGTGATGGCTAGTCGATTATCACGCACTATATACGACGAATTGGAACTCGAAATCTGTCAGAAGTATTTTTGGTCGGACTCCAAATGCGTCATACAGTGGATACGAAGTAATGGTAGGGATTTCAAACAGTTTGTAGCGCATCGTATAGGTGAAATTCAAGAAAATACTTTAGCTGAAGAATGGCGATGGTTACCAACCAATGAAAATGTTGCGGACTATGCTACAAGACTCAAATTCAGTGATAAAATCGAAACTATTCTACAAAACTGGTTTCATGGTCCAGAGTTCTTAAGAAAACCTGAAGAATTTTGGCCATCAGAAAATGAAATTTTATGTAGTCAATTGGGTCCAGAATACTCTACTGAAATGAAAGCAGAGTTTGTAGCAGTTTCAACCGAAGGTAAAAATATTATCAACCTAGAGAGATTTTCTAAGTGGATTCGACTGATCCGAACAACAGCTTGGGTGAGAAGATATGTACAAAAATTGTTGAAAAAAGTAAGAAAAGAAGATATGGCATTTCCAAATAATTTGACTGTTCAAGAGATAACTGAAGCGGAAAAATACTTGATAGGCATATCTCAAGAGCAGAGTTTTCAAGATGATATCGAAACATTAAGGAGATATGGACATCTAAATCGGATGAGTCGTTTGAAACAACTATCAGCATGCCTAGATAAAGATGGGTTGTTGATCTTAGATGGCAGACTAAATTTGGCCACTCAAATGGAATACAGGGCGAAGAAACCATATATTCTCAGTTCGAAAGACCCATACACGAAGTTATTGTTGCAACATTACCATGAAAAGTTCCGTCATCAAGGTATTGAGAATCCTGAACGACGTGAGGCAACGATTTTGGGTCATTGATGGACGAGCTGCAGTGAAGTCAACTTTCACCCGATGTCTGGTGTGCAGAAGATCTAAGGCAAAACCTGCGGTACCCATAATGGGGCAACTACCAGAAGTACGGTTGACTCCAGATGTTCGAGCGTTCGTAAACGTCGGCATGGACTATTTTGGACCACTGCAAGTTTGTGTGGGTCGTCGAAGAGAGAAAAGATGGGGAGTTCTGTTCACCTGTATGGCGATCAGAGCTATTCATCTGGAAGTTGCGTATAGTTTAACCACAGACTCCACTATAATGGCTATCAGAAGAATGATTGCGCGAAGAGGAAAACCATTGAAAATATTTTGCGACAACGGAACAAATCTCCGTGGCGCCGCTGATGAATTGAAAAAATGTCTTGCTGAACTGAATAAATCGGCTTTGTACGATACAATGTCCTCAGAAGGTATAGACTTTCAATTCATACCACCTGCAGCTCCACACATGGCCGGCGTTTGGGAGCGGCTGATTGGTTCTGTCAAGAGAACTATCGGATTTGCTCTATATAATCAGTCGCTTCGTGATGAAACTCTCTCAACGCTATTAGCAGAGGCGGAAAATATAGTGAACTCCCGTCCTCTCACCTATGTTTCTGTGGATGCTGCAGATCCTGAAGCACTTACCCCGAATCATTTCTTGGTTGGATATGGTAATCAGAATGAACCAATATGTATAACCGATTCAGGATCAACATTACGAAAACAGTGGAAGAAATCCCAGATGATGACTGATATATTTTGGCGTAGATGGATAAAGGAATATCTACCCCGGCTGAATAGACGTTCCAAATGGACAGACGATAATAAACCAATTAAAGTTGGAGATATTGTTGTCATAGCGGATGACAATATTCCAAGAAACACCTGGAGATTGGGAAAGGTACAAAAAGTATTTCCAGGACCAGATGGAAAGATAAGAAGCGCAGAAATAAAAACAAGCACTTCTACTTTCCGAAGACCCACTAGTAAGTTGTGTCGTATACAAGAGACTAGTGAAGAAGAAGACCTTCCTTCACCGCGGGGAGAAATGTGACGGCGTATTAATATCAATGTTTATGTACACATTGTATATGGGAATTTTGATTATTATTGTCAATGTGGCAGAGTGAGTCACGTCACAATTTTGAAAAAGAATAAAGACTTTCTGTTTGAAACTGAAATATTTGATTATCTGTAACAATGGTTATTTATTTGTAACAGTGCAGCACGAGAGATTCTGTAATCGTTATTAAAAATAATAAAAAAAAAGTTCTCCAACTGCGCTTTGAACCACCGACCTTTGGGTTCGGAGCCAGTGCTTCCAACAACTGAGCTACCACCATTTCTCCGTATTAGTAGATATTTTATAAATATAATATCGAAGATGGATCTTCTTTAATAATTCCTGTTATTTAAAGAAAAACGAATTCATCAATTCAATGTTGAGTATGTATGTTATTTGAAAAGTTACCTTCAACAGGAGCATTCTGCAGAAAGTAATTGCATGATCTGTTCAGCATTAAGTATTTTTGGTTTTTTACTTCGGAATCCATCCTTTCCTTTCGAGGAAATGGGATATGTTGCTATATTAATATTGTGATTTATATTTAGTGTTGATCGTAACATGGAATATATCGACCAGAGTGATGATGATTTCATGAAATTTGGTAATTCTTGAAAATATACTAAAAGGATATTTTCCGAAAATGACACGGTATTATTTTTAATTCTCCAGTCCAGGAATTTTTGATGTGCTATTTCGTATCATTTACGAGACTTAGCGGGTAGCAACTCATTTTTTACTATTCTAGCTTTTTCCAACATTTCTGGTGGTGTAGAGTGTAGAAATAATCTGATGCTCATCGTCATCGCTTGACATCATTTTTTTAACTGAAATTGAGGATTCTCAATAGAAAATGATCATATTTTCAAAAAATATAACTTTCCTGATGCTTTCGGTTTCGGTGGATAGCTGGATTGATTGATAAAAAGATAAGTACCTACCCACCTAGCTAGTGACATTAATGAAATCGTTGATTGTTATCGACACATCGCCTAAGCAACAAAACAAAGTCATCTATCAACATACCTATGAAAACCGTGCGATCGCTCTCTTTACGCACACGTGTGTAAGGAGAAGCTTACTGCCATTGTTTTGTGTACAATATCCATCACTTACAGTAGTAGTCGTAGGAAAAATAACTTATTGATTTTGTTACGTAAGGGCGAGTTGGCATACTATGCCAACTAGCCCGAATCAACAGTATGCCAACTCGCCCGAAAACGCTTTTCAAAAAATAAGACCTATTTACTCACAACCAGTTACAACACAGCAACGGTTATACCGTAGAATTTCGAGGTTAGGTTCACAAAATCGATTTACGTTTGTTGGAATTCAAAAAGATATTGGATGTTCATGTTTTGCAGCAAGTTATAAGAGTAAATTAAACATTTCTTACCTTCAAAAAAACAAAATTGTCATAAATTTTTTTATTTATTGTCGGAAGTAGCCACAAACACAATACCGGCTTGCACACAATAAGTAAACAGAAGGAGAAGGTTAATTGCGCCGCAAAGCTTTTAGAAGCTGAGAAAGTACCAATATGCCAACTCGTCCGGTATGCCAACACAGGCACATTTCCCCTATGATTCCCTCAGAAGTGGTCTACAACAGATCTCAAATGTGGGTTCGAGCTAGGTGGTTGGCAGATGATGAAATCTACTATCTATCTCCAGTACAAATATTTTTGTTAATTTTTCGTGCTCACCTATACCACTATTATTTTCATTCTCTCAGTATCTTCTGTATTATATTTGTTTTTTTACGGTCAAGCCATTTAGTAGTTGACGAACCTACAGCAGTGCCACCTACCGCGTCCAATTGTATTTTTGAATCATTCAGGAAACCATCGAAATACCCATATCAAATTTCAACCCAATCGGTTCAGCCCTTTTAGAAATTATGTGAAAAAGGCAAGTACGAAAGGATAATTCTCACTACCCTTTGTTCTATTACCCGTTTTCCCGTAGGAATAAAGCATTTTTTTGACAGTGAAAAGCAGCCTATGTTCATCAGGGATAATGTCTGCTTCTAATGGTGAAAGAATTTTTCAAATTGGTCCAATAGTTTCGGAGCCTATTCAATACAAACAAACGAACAGGCAAATCTTTCCTCCTTATAATATCAGTGTAGATAATGAATATTGAATACCCCAAGCAAAGCATTCCTCATTCAAACTACACCAACTGAATATGTATCTTCATTTCTTAAGATTTTTGAAAGCTCAAGTAAATATCAAACTCGCGTTGTTTTAATCATCATCAGAATGGATACCTACTGTCCCTACGGGAGAATACTTTCTGGGCAACTATTATTTTCATTCATTATTTTTCAGGAACTTTGGAGAGGAGCACTCAACTGGACGGCATGGCGTACGCTCCTTCTGTTCGTGTTTTTTATAATCTGTCCCCCAGTCTGGATAGCCTTCACCCTCCCATTAGGCCACAAATACTACAAAGTACCCATCATCAAATTCATGTCGTACCTCACGTCGCACGTCTACCTGATGATCTTCCTCCTCGTCGTAGGCATCACTCCGCCATATCCAGTGGTCAGAAGGAACCTGTTGCCCTACTGGTATGTAAGAAGGGTGCATGGACTCAGAAGATGTTACTCTATCCTCGAATTAACTCAATCAAAATTACACCTGTCTTAGATCCATCTACTTATCAAGATCAATTTCTATCATCACTTTATTTCTTTCTGAACGAGAAAGGTTAGGCAAGTCAGGTCCTATAAGAATAGGCTGATTCTTAAACGTGATCAAAAGTATTCTACCCACCTTGTGAAGCTCAGAAGAGGTGACAGCTCTCAGGACTCAGCTAACGCTTTTAGTAATTCTTCCCTTCATCAGAAACTTCTATTGAATTTTCTCAATATCCACTTCTTCTGAAAGAATAGTGAGGATGTTCAGAAATGAAAGAATTCGTTTCTGAACAATCTATTTAATGATCATCAGAAGGATGATTTGATGAAAAGAAATTCAATGAGGAACTGACTTCTAACAAAGACAGAAAACAAGAGAAAACAATACATATCACAATATCGACAACTACTCCTATTATCTACTACTATGCCACTATCACTACTACTACTAACACTTCCATTCAAGGGATACCAAACTGACAGGCTTTGTCAAAATCAGAGAAAAAATACAATCTGTGAGAGTTCAAATTGAATGACTATCGGATTTACTTTCTGTACGACCTCTTGAAAATGAATTCTCAGTATTATGAACTGGAAAGGACACAAGGACATTAACTCAATTCAATAATTCATCAAAAACCAATGAAAAACTATATGTAATTATCAATTGAATCGGTTATTATTAGGTTACAAGTTGAAAATCGGCCATATTGTGATTGATGTTTTTTCGCAAGCTTGAGGCCAAGGCTCATCTTTTAGTTCAAAAAAGAACCAAGAATCAATAATGTTGGTATACTAGAAATTCTGAGTAATCCGAGTGGGTCAGAAACATTATATTTTCCAATTGTTCATATACTTGGTTTCATTTCATAATTCCACTTCTGAATGCTACCTTGTTCATGTATTTGGTGCCTTCTAAAAATTCTACTCCTGAATGCAAGCTGACAGTTGACAGTCGATCCATGGTACCGTGTTTCTGTGTGCGTAAATAAAAACATAATTCGAATAAAATGTAATTCTCCATTAATAAAACTGATCACATCATACACGCTTAATATGTATAATACTGGCTTCATGAGAGACCAAGACCAAGACTAATCACTCACACGAAAAATAAATGTAGTTTTGGTCTTGGTATTGGTCTTGATGTTTCAAGACCAAGAAGAGACTAGCTCAGTCTTGGTCTTGATCTTGATAGTCTTGGTCTTGGATCAGAATGCGTCTAGAAATTTGAATCATTCAATTTTTGTATCAAGACCAAGACAAGACCAAAACTGGACTCTTGGTCTCCCATTCATAAGTCTGGGAAAGTATCACAAGTCACAAGTCGAAATTCACAAACCAATATCGGTATTGTGTTCTGTTGCGAAGTTGTTTCAACAGATAATTTATGTGAAAGTGTGGAACTGGCTGAAGGATCATATCTGTGTAGAAAAACATGGCTCCATACACCAAAGAAATCAACATCCACCAACTTGCTAGTCTTTTGTCACGATGTGCATAAATTCATTAATATAGGCACACAAGTAGACGTAGTATATTCTATTGAAAGAGATATTTAAAAATGGAGCTATTTAAAAATGGAGCTAATCGGCAAACTCTCGAATTATTTGCTTCCTATCTGAGCAATCGAACATACAAGGTAAGATATAAAGGCAATCTATCTGAAACATTTAATGTCCACTCTGGGGTGCCACAAGGTTCAAACCTTGGACCTTTACTGTTCCTTATTTTTATCAATAGCTTACCTGCCCACTTGAAAATACTCTGACTGTGTGGATATGGAGTTTTCTCTGGTTTTAATGTAATTCGAACTATGATGTTCCGAAAAGAATTCACAATAGGCAGTCTCGATACTCGAAGAATCAGTAATAGTATTATAATGTGTGATAAATTGTACAACAAATTATACAACACTCCGTATTCGCATTCTATGTTGAAAAGAAGAGTACCCTTCAGACTCACAAGGCTTGACTAGTTTTTTGAAATCCCTCTGGTAACAACGAACAACTGCTCCCCTGTAATCTCCATGTTGAAGATAACGAATAATGCTCTCCTTCTATCAGAAATCAATATTGCTCTCCCCCCCCCCCCTTACAATTCTTCAAGTTACTCAAACAATATTTTGACGATGTTGAATAAAACTTGTTATGTCACCCAAACAACAGTTCATTGATTATGCACTAAGTATAATGAAAGTATGAATTTGAATTAAAAATTATTGGAAACATCAGGTGATATCCTCAGGCACATTATCACTGATTCAATATCAATAAGCTTGTATGTAGTATAGTATTCTTATGTAATCAGGTGTACACCTGTTTGAGGAATAAATAGATAAATTAATAAATAAATATTCGATTCATTTGGATAATTCGCATTCTTACAGGTACGAGTGGATCCTCCTGGTCTGGCTGAGCGGCCTCCTCCTGTTCGAACTGACCAACCCCAGCGACAAATCCGGCCTTGGCTGGATCAAGATATCGGTGCTACTTTTCAGCATATTCGGGGTAGGAGTGCACCTCTTGGGCATCCTCTTCATAGAGAAGATCAACTGGCCGACGCTGATGTACTGCAGGAATCAACTGTTCGCGCTCAGCTTCGTGCTGGCTTGCGTTCAAATCCTCGATTTTCTTTCGTTCCATCATCTGTTTGGGCCTTGGGCCATCATCATTGGTAATTTAATGAAAGATCTTGCTAGATTTTTAGCGGTGCTAGCCATATTCGTGTTCGGATTCTCCATGCAGTTTGTGGCGCTCAATCAACCGTTTCATAATCTGTCGAGAGATGAGCTGGTGCGACTGAACAAGCAAGGAGTTCTGCAAAGAGGATTCTTTGTTGATGGTGAGTTGTTTTACGGATCGTTTGACTGCATTTGTTCTTGTATAGAGATGAAATTCGAAATGTTACAATATGTACCCAACGAAAACCTTGATTTCAATTTATAAAAATTGTTTGTTCACACTTCGAAAATCTCGATGCCGAATCATAGTGCAATTATAAACGAAGAAAGCTTTTTCAACGAAATATTCCGTGACAACTGGTTCATATGGATAAGATAACTAGATTTTTTCATTTCATCCACGAGAGTAACCACAAGTTGATAGCTCACCTTCCTATAATGTAGTGGATATGTGGAATTTTTCAAATTGTAATATGAGACAAGAAAAGAAGTGGAATTGGATACTATCAAATCAGATGATTTGCTCCGAAATATACTGATTCCAAATCTAAGAATAATATATAGGGTCTAGAGAGGAAAACCCGAGGAAAAACCTGAAAATCTATAGAAATGAAGCCAAAGTAGACATAATCGAATATATCCGATTCTTCTGAGAAAGAATCATTGAGGTTAAAGACTGTAATCGATAGGGAAGGTTATTTGAGGCTTGAAATCATTCACAAGAAAGTCGATATAAGGGAGGTAATGGAGGGGGTAATGTGGGTAATTACCACCTCCGTCCTCAAGAATAATGATTTGTAAGATAGGTATCAGATATAATAGACGATTATGGTTGTTTGACTTGTGATCTGTTTATTCAAAGATGTTTAGCGCTGTTTCTAATTATAATATAACAGGGTGTAATTTAATTGATTGTTCGAAATATAGGATATAGTTTTTCAGCTCATTTCAAGAAGGTGTTCAAATGTTAGGAAAAAAATTGTTTCTTTGATTAATATAATAGACAGAAAATAAAATTTCAACACCCTATAGCTCGAAGGTCGAGAGGTTTATGGCATATTATGTTCATATGAACTTTTTTTCTTAAAATGAGTTGAGGGACCATATCCTATATTTTTAGCCATCAATCAAATTACACCCTGTATATTATTTGATATTATATACCTAAACCAAGAAGCCATTATCCCCCCAAGAAAAATCATCAACGCATCTGTTCACAGGTCGAGTAGAATAGTCAAAGTCAAAGTCAAAAGGTGCTTTATTGTTTAATAATGCAATTCTCGTAACGTAAAGCTTGAACGATCTTAAATGTGAAATATGAAAAAATATCGATTAATATAATTATGAGACATGACTATGCTGAATAAATATTCAATTAGTTATACGTTTATAAATCAAAACAACATTACAAATAATGAACTAACAAGATACAGAATAAATTTAGAGCTTGAAATATGAAAAAGCAGAGCATGCTATAGTAGGGGACCAATAAAGTCATAAGTTAGAACAAAAAACAAATAAGATAGTAGTATCTGCTAGGAATTTGTCAACGGCATAATATGCCTTTTCGATCAGTATGAAATGTTCTTGATCATATCAGGTAGGTGATTGAATAACTTGAACCCATTATGATTAAACGATTTTTTAGCAAGGGTTGAATTTGGTATTTAGCATTGGTGTTCAACATCCTTATTGGCCAATTTTTGCCCTTTTTTGTGGACTAGACAAACAGTTTCCAAAATGGAGAGAGTAGGTAACGTCATGATTCTCTGTTCCACAAATATTGATTTGCAGGAATCAATAAATTTTGCCTTACATAAATATTTCAATGTTTCTTTTTTGAATAATGAACACTGCCTTGAATTGATATTCACTCCATGTTCCCCAAAATGGCAAACCATATCTCAAGTGAGTCCTGACAAACGCATAATAGGCACCTCGGGCTGCCCAAGTCCCCAATTCATTCGCTATGACTCCAACCGCATTGGTTCCACTTGAAATTTAATTTATAATGTATTGAATGACGTGACCTCTCCACTTCAGTTGTCCATCTATTTCAAGTCCCACGAATTGATTATAATCTTATGTCCTATAATTTCCTATAATTTCGTTGGAGTTTGTAAAATGCATTTGAATGTGAGGAGTTTAGTTTTTTTATATTGTACTTGGTAGCTTAGAAATGTCATTGATATAAAGCAATAATGAAGATGGTCCTAGTACAGATCCCTGCAGTATCCCATTACTAATTGATCCCTCAACTGACAATTAATATGTTGATTTTCCTAACTATTTGCTACCTTTGTCGATTCACAATATCGGGAAATATATCAGGAATGTCCTATTGACAATGGAAAAGAAGTCAATAGGATTCAGAACAAAATCTGGTTTTCATTTTTCAATGTAACTACCACCCCTGATGTTCAGTTTCTGTCGTAGGGTATCCAGTTGTCACTGAATATTATATCCCAAAATCTAGAAATATTCGCAAAAGGGCGAAGATATCGTACTAAAAGAAAATAAAAGAAAAAATACACAAATACTCTTCATTCAAAAAATATACATTACTATCATCAGGTACAAGTTTGAAGTGGAATGCATCAAGCAGAATTGACTGATATAGTTGATATCTGATATAAAATTCAACATCATCATTTAGCGCCCAACGTGTATACAGAAGAGCAGGTGATACTATCACGACATCTCATCAATCTAGTGATTATCATGAATCTTTGATATCAAAATATATCTAACAACAGTCATGATATTTAGAATTTCGTATTTCAGAAATTTCAATTCTGTGGATATTTCATTGTTTGTTGCGGTCAATATTCGAATATCCATTTCGTCTCTATACTAACGAATTTTTTGGATAACTCTAATGCTATGTAAATAGCAACGCCTATTGAATTCTAAACTCCTCAACTATCTCATATTCGTTTGAATTTTTAGCACTTAGCACGAAACGTTTTGACTTATTTCACGAATATCCGAAGTCGATGAAAGTGTACATTCTGTATAATAACAGCATTTTTTACGAATCTAGAGCACGAATCGTTGATTAATGACGCAGAATGGATAGACAATCTGAGCCACAACCAGCCGATACCAAGAGCCAATCTCCGTAAAAAACGCCAACCCATTACAGGGAGTAAGTCCTTAAGTGTGTGGTCCTTAGCTGTGACTCTAGAAGTCAGTGTCTGGTGTCTGTCCCGATCAGTGTGGAGGTCTCTGTATATAGTTTTTCTGAGATGTATAGATGCATTTTAGGTAACTGTTCTACGTTATCGCTGAACCGCTTTGTGTCTGTTCCCGTTCGTCTGATCTCATCTGATCTACATGTTTGTGTATATGTTTCGGTGGTTTATAAGCACCTTTTGTGCTGTTCGTTTTCTTCCTTGGGCTCTTGAAAGACATGCCAAATCACGACTAGTTGATATCTTTGCTCTAAAGCTAACATGAAGTCGTTTGCCCCATGTTTTATTTTCGCCATGTTCACTGACTAATGAATAATGAAGTATGTCGCTAGGGAAAAGCAATGAACTCAATGTGAACACCTGGAAGGGATCCTCTGTGGAAACGAGTGAGACAAACAGATTTTATTTCATACTGCATCAGTGCATCATATAACATACCTTTACGTACCTGATTTCAATACGGACTTTTACAGGATAGGCGTACGTAATATTTCATTACGTGATACTATCCCGTAATGAAATTTTACCGGATTGTAAATATTGAAAACTCAGTTATGCGTCAAAAGCATGAATACATTTATTAAAAATTCAACAGCCAAACAATACACAGAAATTACTTATTGCTAATATCAATATTAACCGTTAAATTTTCGTTCCCATGAATATGGATACCAGGAGCTCCATTGGATGAATCATTTATTAGGGAGTTGCTACTTGCTGATACATTCCCATTTTTTTGAATTATATTTTTTATTATAGATAAATAGATTAATATTTTATTTGTCACTGTTCATTTTTGTTTTTTAGCAGTATGAAATAAAATGTTATACGTCACACGTCCGGTAAACTATTACAGTACTCGTTTCGAAATTCTCACTCGTACTGTAAAAGTGTACTTACCGGACTAGTAACGTAAATATCTAGTTCAGGCTACCCGCAGTGGTTACGGACCCCTCTTTCTATCTCATGTTGGTTAATATAGGAATCCCTCGCATTATTTTTCTCTTTTTTTCCTCTTATATAAGAGTAAACGTGATGAAATATAATTATTCATTTTTTTTTACTTGTTTCTTTAACGTCGGCCTTTTTCTGCTACTGAGGCTAATCACCGCCGCCGGTGAGCACACTATACCCCCAACCGGAAATTTTGCCGAATCCTCTGGTTGGAATACCAGAGGATTCGGTCTTTAACGAGTCCAACATCCATGGCCTCGGGACCGCCGGCTTAACGTCCCCTCCGAAGGACGGCATATCCGCATATCCGTACCATATCTTGTGCTCAATAGAGTTGATGTATTCACTGTACGTAGACCTCCAAGTAGACGTTAACGTACGAAAAATAACGTTTACGTATTGTCGTTAAATTGAGTTGAAGTCGCCACTTTGGTCGTCACTGTCATCATAACATCATAATACATTTTGTTTTCGGTTTGTATTGGTCATTTTTGGTTGTGTGTTTAGATTCGAACATTTATTCCTGTCAAAATTAGAGGACTCCTTGATGCAGAACTCGTTGGTGATCTCGAATTTGATAATTTTTCGAGTATAGTTTGGTTAACGTACGTTGATATTTAAGGTATACGTGAAGGAACGTGAGATAACGTAAGCGTAACGTAAGCCCACTAACAACGCAAACGTGAAGAATTGGAAAATGCGCATGCGTAGCTGTCAATTTCTACGTTTACGTTAACGTTCATGACAACACTTCAACTCTCTATTGATACGGTAGCTGTAGCTATGATATAATTATGCTATTCCGCTACAGATGTATACGGGCTTACGCGGCGTTTCCTCGTCACCCATCCAAGTACTAACCGCGCTCGACATTGCTTGACTTCAGATATAGAACGGCTAGAGCCTTACCTGAGAAGCTAGGGCGATGTCCAAATATTCATTTAGGAAAAAGGATAATGTTGCAATCAATTATTATTCGAAAATAATTATTGATTGCTTCATTGACTCAAAAGTGGAATTTCATTTATGTTCTTACAGGATTAGGAAGTCGAAAGAATACAGAATTGAAATTATATATTCTCATTCAAATGTCACAATATATTGTAGAGGGTGAGCGAAGCTCAATGTCTAAAAACTATCAAAAGAGAAAGAAAAAAGTTTCTTGAATGGTATTGAGTACCTGAGGTCTATTTTAAAACTAACTTAATAAGAGTACCTATTTTTCCATAATCCTTTTACATTTAGAAGGTGAGTGGAAGGTGAATAAAAGTACAATGTTTGGAGGAATTGTTTCATTCAAGATGAATATCTGGGTGGCCCAGAATGTACCTACACCTTCATTTTTTTTTTCTTCCTGGAAAAGAAGATGCTCCAAAGGCAAACCTGAAAAGACGATATATGTAGCTCTTGAGTTTGAAAATTTCAACTCTCAAAAAATATCCCAAGTACCAATCATTGAATAAAAGAAAATGTATACACCAATCCGTCATTAAACAACGCGAAAGTGAAAGAAACAGGTTACCGTAACACGAGCTATCTTTGTTGCAGCTGCCCCTGACACACTCTGTGCTATTCGAGAAAATGGCAGTCTCCCTTCCAGGTGTTTACATTGAGTTCATTGGTTGAACAATTCCTCAATTATTCTGTAATTGTGAAAACTTCACAAACGATAAGATTTCCACAAAATTTATTAAACACACGACATGTTTCGCTAACACAGTAGCTTCGTCAGGTGATATACTGGTACAATGAACTAAACTAACGTTGGCTTGCTTAACTCTTATATATCTTACCTTCCCAACCTGAAGGACTAGTTACCTGTGGACAGGTACGATAAACCTCCATTTTCGGAAATTAGGCACAATATCTACATTAAATTACGGTATACCGGATTAACTTGAAAGAGTTGATATCAAATTCATATTATTACTTACTGATTCAAAATGATTGAGTTTCAGTCCTTTATTTTCTACGTGCAGAATTTCAAAATTATCATGAAAACCTTGGTTTTCTTCTAATATATGGTTGGCGTATGTTGAATTTCTTTTCTTTTTCATAAAATTCATCTTATGTTCATGAATGCGCTGATTAAACGTACGACCTGTCTGACCGATATATACCTTAGGACAAGATCCACATTTGAGTTTGTATACCCCTGATTTTTCGAATTTAGAAGTTTTGTCTTTATTATTCTTGATAAACCGTCCCAACGTGTTATTTGTTCTATATGCCACTTTTAAGTCCTGTACGTTTAATCAGCGCATTCATGAACATAAGATGAATTTTATGAAAAAGAAAACAAATTCAACATACGCCAACCATATATTAGAAGAAAACCAAAGTTTTGATGATAATTTTGAAATTCTGCACGTAGAAAATAAAGGACTAAAACTCAATCATTCTGAATCATTAGGAATCAACAAACTCAAAAATTTTGACATTTTACTTAATGATCAATTAGACCTTAATAGTTCACCACTGTTGAATTTGTTTTCTTAGTAAGTAATAATATGTATTTGATATCAACTCTTTCAAGTTAATCCGGTATACCGTAATTTAATGTAGATATTGTTCCTAATTTCCGAAAATGGAGGTTTATCGTACCTGTCCACAGGTAACTAATCCTTCAGGTTGGGAAGGTAATATATATAAAAGTTAAGCAAGCCAACGTTAGTTTAAATCATTGTACCAGTATATTACCTGACGAAGCTACTGTGTTAGCGAAACATGTAGTGTATTTAATAAATTTTGAGGAAATCTTATTGTTTGTGAAGTTTTTACATTTATCATGGATTTCCATCAAGTAACGGCCGAGTCAATTCAAAAAATATTCTGTAATTATTGCTCATCGAAATAACTGGAGACTGCAAGAGTCAATTTGGCATGTACTTCAAGAAAGTGAAATGTCTGCGACTGTGAAGCATGCCGTTTGAACAAAAAAAGAACAGCCGAAAGGCGGACCCCCAGCGCCGATATTGACTCAACTAAAATGTTCCCAGTGATAATGAGCCCCCTTTTGGCGTTCGAGCTGTTGTTTTTCGCCGTCTTCGGTCAAACCACCTACGATGAGCTGACCGTGAAACACAGAGACCCGAAAGTGACGCCTTACCGGCCGCTATGGACTGACAACCTCTTCAAAGTGGTTTTCGGCATCTACATGCTGGTGTCGGTGGTTGTGCTCATTAACCTACTCATTGCCATGATGTCGGACACATACCAGCGCATTCAGGTAACTGCCTTTTATTTTGTGATTCCAGTCCAAAAGAATCCGATCAGTGCTTTTGAGCTGCTGTTTTTCGCGGTATTCGGCCAAACATCTACCGAACAACTGAAAAGCTACGGTCCGACCTCCATCAATCGTACTAATAACCAACCCCCTTGGACGGAGGTACTTTTTAAGTGCGTTTTCGGCGCTTACATGTTGGTGTCTGTCGTTGTGCTGATTAATCTACTCATTGCTATGATGACTGATACTTACCAACGTATTCAGGTAAAAGCTAGGTAGCTAGGATAGATTCATGTTAAAACAATCACGCTTAGTCCAGTGTCCATGTAATGTTTTCTACTCTCAGTCCTGATGGCGAAAATATATCGAGACCGAGTTTGTTTTGTTTCCTATCACCCTGTCATACTTGAATACATATCGAAAAGGAATATTCCAAGATTAATTATGAACATGAAAAAATGGATATGTTATATTTGAAGAAATACATGGAGAATTCGCATTCTCTATGTGATGAAAATATCGAATATTTCTCGGTTTATTCAACACAAAACAACTACTTTCCTGGCTATATGCCACTACGAACATTGAATTATATTCAGATATATATATTGAACACACAGGATTAGAATTTGAGAACAAAATCTTCTGAAATTGGGAATTTCCATACAACTTCAGATAGAAATATGTATATACATATGTATACATCATTCTTAATATTCAACAGAAAACAACTAATTCCCTGGATATCTGCCACGTCGAACATTGAATTATATCTGTTGAAAATCCAAAAAGAGAGCATGAAAAATAAATACCCTTTGAAATTGAGAATTAACAAACTCTCAAATCTGATGAATAATATGATGTATTATGATATAAAAATATTACTTACCGCAATATGTTCAGTAGGAGAAGTATACTAGTATAAACTCTGTTCTTGATGAGCTTGGAACTTCCAAAAAAATCATTCGTATCAGGTATATGGAAATTATATTATACAGAGTGTTTCACAGGTAAAGGGAAATATTTCAATGGTAGATAGGGGTCACCAAGGTGGTACTGAAAATACCATATTTGATAGGTCGCAGAGTCTTCATAACGGAGATACAGGGCGATTTATCGATTTCGAGTAATTAATTGATAATTAATAAATTTAAAGAGTATTGAAATCATGAAACCAGTGTCAATTATGATTATTCGATATATTTTAGTCGAAAAATCGCTCGAAAGAACTTACTAAGTCTCACAGTCTTTATAACGGAGATATATTAATGCAATGGGTAGTTTAATACTTATGGACCAGTGAATAATTATTCGGAACCGATAATTCACCTTGTTTCTCTTCTCTTCTTTCGAACGATCATTTAACAAGAATATATCAAATAATCATAATTGAAAGTGGTTTCATAATTTTAATACCTCCTCTTCACGATTCCTCTGATGAACTCTGTCAATTATTAAATACAGTGTGTTATTTTAATATTTCGAATAATTGTAAATTTTTCCTGAAGCGAACCTGGATTTTCCCTTCGTCCGATGAGTGAATGAATTCAACATCCCAAGTATAAGCTCCATACCAAATTTTAGAAAAATATACTCGGTAGTTCAATACTTATAGACGAATGAATAATTATTCGAAATCGATAAATCGCCCTGTATCTCCGTTATGAAGACTCTAAGACCTATCAAATATGGTATTTTCAGAACCACCTTGGTTACCCCTATGTACCATTGGAATATTTCCCTTTATCTGTGAAACACCCTGTATATATATTATATTAAGCTCATCAAGAAAAGTATATACAAATATACTTTTCCTATACATTACAATTTTTATTTCAATACTGAACATATTGGTAAGTTATATTTCATTATAATACATCATATTATTCATCAGATTTGTGAGTGTGTTAATTCTCAATTTCGAAGGATTTTCATTCTTCATACTCTCTTTTTGGATGTTCAACAAATAATATAATTCAAAATGTTCGACGTGGCAAATAGCCAGGAAAGTAGTTGTTTTCTGTTGAATATTCAGAATGATGTTATGGGCATATACATATTTTTATCTGAAGTAAAACGCAAATTCTCAAATTTTTGTTATGTGTTCAATAAATGTAATTCAATGTTCGTTGTGGCATATAGCCAGAGAAGTAGTAATTTTCCTCTGAATGAACCGAGACAGAGTTGATATTTTCATCATATACAGAATCCGAATTCTCAATGTTTTTTCAAATATATATCCATTTTTTCATGTTCATAATTCATCTGCGAATATTCCTTTTCAATACTTTCACCCAATCAAGGGGTTCAAACTTGAACGATGGAAATTTATTATTTTTATATACCTTCAATCGCAGATTCGTGATTGAGTTTTCTCTATGCAGAATTTCTTTCCACGTCCTGTATGATGAATATCAGTTTGTCATACATCTAAAAAATTCGATGCATATATTTAATACTGATATATGGCGACAACATCTACATCAGAAATATAGTCGCGAACTATAACTTTTCACCTCTAGGAGGACGAAAAGTATAGGATAGGAACAGTGGCGGATTTACAAATTTGCCGCCAGTATAGATTGTTGATTTTTTTCCGCCCCTACTGACCTTTGAAATTCAATATTCTAATCGCGTTCATATTAATTACATTCATTATGTCAATAAAATAGCAACTTTATGATTCGCGCTCTATCGTCTTCATTACGTCAGTTTTTTCTAGTTTACCTAGCATGATTTTGCATTATACTTCGCAGCTTTGTCCTCCGTTATTACTATTTTACACACTGTAGTAGGTTTGATTTTACCATTTTCGTACAAGTTGAAAGAAGTGCAAAATTTTTGGCTATCGGCAACATCGCATTCGTCATCCTATAAGCCTGTTCCCTGGCGGTGTGACTGGTGTGAGTGGTATTCGCTCGGGTATTCGTCATTCTGTTTGATTGTACCATCGAGTATAGATAGTGAAGTGCACAATGGGAAGAACAAAGAAAGCTTCGAAACGAGAATCGAAACGAAAACTGAAATACAAAATGAGGAAATTAAAGAAGAAAATGGATGACCTCACATCCTCAGAAAGTAAGTGAAATCATTTTAGGAACTCCTAGAAGAAAAATAACCTTGTAAAAACAGCTACTAGAAACGGCATCCCGTTTCGTCAACGGCAACCATTCTTCACATGGTTTTTGCTTTCGTTGAAGTAGCACTGAAATCGGCATCCACATGGATTGCATGTTTTTCAGTTAAAATAACCGCTAGTCAGAGTTCACATGAATCTCGACGATCTAGCCGGCCACCTTATCATAAATAGCAAAAAACATAAGTTTTTATTCGAGCCTTCGTGCATACGATAGGCAATTGGCATGAATGAGTCATTATTCGGATCTTGCACATACAAGATGTTCGAAAAATAACAAAAACGAAAATAAATCGAATATTTGACAACCATGAATACCTGCAGAGCATTTTTCGATTACAGGTTCATTCAGTACATCCTCAATCTCGACATCTTCCGATGAAGAAATGTCGGATGAAGAAAACCCACCAAAACCGTCAGAGGAGGTTGTAATTGATATTAGCCCAGATATATTATCTATTTTGGGCTCGGACCCCAAAGATTCCAATTTAGAAGGGCCTGAAATTCACAACGAAATTGCCAATCGTTGGAACACAGTAATTAGAGAAGGCATTGAGAAAACAGAACGAAAAACTCTCATGACCAAATATCCAATAATCAAAAATTGCAAAAACCTAACAGCTCCTGTACTAAACCCAGAACTAAAGGCAATTATAGGCGAGGGGGCAGGTAGGCAGGACTTGTTCTTAACTAGAATTCAAGAACAACTAGGCTGTGCGATTTCAGCACTGTCGGGGCCCCTGAACAATCTGTTTTGTTCCCCAACAGAAGAAACGAACCCGATCCTACTGAGTTTAGTGGAATCGGCCAAACTATTAGCTGACTTACACCACAGTCTATCGCTTCACCGCCGATATATGATACTTCCAGTTGTGAAGCCAGATGTTAGAAAAATAATTGAAGAATTTCCTATCGAAACTCTTCTTTTCGGCGAAGCATTCACCGACAAAGTGAAAAAAGCCAAAGACTTACAAAAAACGTCCTCAGAACTCAAAATGTTCAAAGCGATGAATCAGCCATCCACGAGTGGGTTACAAAAATTTCAACGAGCAAATCAAAATTCAAAAAACTTCCAGCGCCAGCAGAGCCGGCCTCCACGGAAGAAAGGGAAAGAAACAGAGGGGAGGAAATACTACAAGAAGGAAAACAACAAACAAGAGAGGTCGAGGAGCAGATGGAACTAGCAGAGGTAAATTATGCTGGCAGGCTTTCAAATTTCTTTAATCAGTGGTCCAATATTACCGAAAACCCAACGGTTCTTGGTTGGGTAAAGGGAATAAAACTCAGTTTCACAGAGAAACCGAAACAAGGAAATATATTCAACATAACAAACACTGATGAAGAAATTGAAAACTGCAAGATGGTTATTAAAAATTTGACCAAAATTGGAGCAATATCCGCTTGTAGCAGTGAGGTGGAAGGTCAATTCCTATCCCCTTATTTCCTCAGACAAAAACCTAATAAAGAATTTCGGTTCATACTGAATTTGAAGAGCCTGAATAGATTCATCACGCCACCACACTTCAAACTCGAAGATTGTCGCACTGTAATCAGACTTATATACAAAAACGCATATCTTACAAACATTGATCTCAAAGATGCTTATTTCATATTGCCTATAGCAAAAAGCCATAGAAAATATCTGAGATTCAAATTTGAAAATACAATCTACGAGTTCAATTGCCTTCCTTTCGGATTGAACGTGGCACCTTACATTTTCACAAAAATCTTAAAACCCATATTGAAAAAAATACGAGAGGAAGGCATCATTTGTGTGGCATACCTAGATGACATATTAATAATAAGTTCATCAGTAAAAAATTGTACTAGAGACACATTAAAAGTTATAAGTCACTTCGAAAGCCTA